GGAACGGAAAATAATTTTTCCATATGCGAGTTAAAACCCATTACCTAACTTATGTATGAATAATATGGTGGTTTAAATTATAAAACGTGTATAGATTTAGTATATTTTCCTAAATATTTATTCAAAAATCGAGAAATCTAACCAGAGAACCATTATGCACAATCTAGAATCGTAATTTCCACTCGAAACAAATTGTAGTTGAAATTGTACAGTAAATGTTCTATTTTCTTAAGTTTTTGATGTTAAATTCCTTCTTAATTTTATAATTTCTATGTAATTTAAAAGCGGCATGCATTTCACGGCCGTTACATAAGACGCTGTTACGTAACTCATAAAAGTTTCTTTTCATAATTTTTACAGCCTCGCTTTATTTTATAAAACATTTCATGAGTGAGCCATTTGAAGTTCAAGGTCTGAAATTGTATGAAAAAATATATTTCAGAAAAAATATGTATTGTTATCCATAATATCAACAAAGCTTTTGTGGTGTTGGAGTTTCGTCAAAGAAAGTAAATTAACGCCTACATTGTTGTCAACTTCTATTTTGATAATGGTCACATGTTTTTAATTTACATTTTAAGAACTAGCAACACTAATGATATATTAACATATGTGGCGGATTACTTAAATTCTCATTTTAATAGTAAAAATATATTTGGAATTATAAATATTTAAGTTATTAATTCTAACAGGAATTCTCTTCTTTTACTTATTAATTAAAATATCTAAAAATTCATATGATATTTTTTTACACGTAGCTCAGTCTTATTGCTTTTATTTTTCTATTAATATAGATAGAACTTTCATTATGTCGGAAGACTTTTCCTGCATTAAAATAATTCCGTTTCATAGAAATGAAGTTATTTATTTTTTAATTAAGCAAATAGAATTTTTATTAATTATTTTTACACATTACTTGCATTACATTAAAGTAATTCATATACGTTTTAAAAAGAAAGCATTTGAGTAATTTAACCGTCTTTATCTTTTTAACTTTTACAAAGAATTTGAGATTTACAATTACGTAAGCTCAATTTAAACTTCATGAGGACTGTCCAATTGAAAACCTGGAAAATACGTCGTGGTTTTAAAAATATTTTCAGTTAACATCTGATTAATACTTTTAATAAAGGTTTTAAATCTACTGATTCGTTTAATGCGATGTAATTAGTTTACAGTTGTAAATAATAACAACTTTGAATTATAGTATTAATCTTAAATCGTTAGAAGAACCCAACATTTTCTAGGCAGATTACATTGATACTCAAGTTATATATAAAACTATTATGTATAAAGCTACTATGTATTAAATGAAGACAAAAAATGCCAATAACATGAAAGGTAGGAAACAAGAGGCCAGGTCTAAAATTACATTGTTCTAGATTTTATGCGAGGCATTCGCGTGTCTGAAATTTGCCATCGAAAACCATTTTAGATATTTATTGGATGAAAAAGTTCCTTTCACGGGTAATTCACAACCTACTATAAGTTATAAGTAAACAAAATTTTATCGAAATAAATTAGAAAATGTCTAAGAAACACATTTTGAATCATATTAACACATATTTTATGTTTTATTCTACTAGACAGAGTGATTTGATATCAAGAATAGATGAATTTTAATCCAAAAAAACAGTTTATTACATTGAAAAGTGAAGCTAATTTCCTTTTATAAGGTACATTGAGATTTTGAGCGGAGTCGACAGCTCTGTAATCAATTTGATATTGATCTGTAATCTGTATAACTGTATTATATTATGTGGTGTTTTAAATCTTAATACATTGTAATACAATTATATATAACAAGCTTGTAACGATACTTGGATATTTAACAGAAAAACTCATAGGTTTAGTTTCGTGATACTTATATTCTTCCTGGTAATTTCCCAATTTTAGCCAGGGTCTGCTATACATGTTGTGAATAGTTTTGGCTAATTGTTTTTACGACCGGCCGCCTGCCAGACATCAATCCTCATTGGGAATCAGCATTAATCAGTGACGTCTAAATAATCTTAGAAAGTACATATGATTCGGAAAAATCACATTGGTACTTGCCAGGGCCAGGATCGAACCCGCGCCTTCGTGCATGAGAGACGGGCCTTTTAACCACTAGCTCACCACTGTGTAGCTTCGTGATACTTATATTAAACAATATTATAGATTCAGATTCTTGATGACATTATAATCTGAATTTTCTTTCTTCAGTAGATACATATCATTTATTTTGTGTTGAAACTAAAGTGTACCTACCATTTCAGAAAAACAGAAAGATTACTTTGGTTGGGTTTATAGGTATTTGAAAATGAATTTAGCGTAAAGTCAAAAAACGTTGCTAGAATTCTTAATTTATATTTTCTATACGACTCAAATATTAATTTTTAAAGCAAAAATCTAAAAATATATGACTATATAAAAACATACAATAAAATAATAAAGGAAATATCACCATTATTGATTATGAAACGCTTGAAGAGCGTAGTCTTTTAGTGTAATGAAATTGTGCAACCCTGATTGAAATGAAGCTAGCAGCGTTGCATGCAGAGCTAACGTAATGTGGGATTAAACGCGCTTTGAACGTAAACGTAATATGCTACGTGAGGCCATCACGTAAACAGTTACGATGTTATTAACTATATCAAATGATAGAGTAACTGATGATAATTTATATAAATTATTGATGTTGTTAATATATAAATGTATTAAAATATATGAACTCAATGCTAGTATTTTCAATCAGTTTTATGAAGAATTTTCATGAGTTTTTCTTCTATCGTTAGTATAAATCTTCCATTAAAGATACGCTTGAAGTAACTATTACATTTCCTGCAAGCAATGGTGTGTATTGAGCCTTAAATTATTACTTGTTCAGTCTTTTATTTCTACGTTTTAATTTCTTTCTCCTATACCTGTCACCTGTGTTTATGCCAATAGTTCTTGATCAACTTCATTGTTTGCAAGTCCGCCTACTCTGTAAAACAGGTCACTAATTAAATGAATTCCATACTAAGACATAACGAATGAGGTTTTTATTTAAATAATATTGTATGTAGAGAATGAAGATGTATTGAACAAAATTATATTTATTTTAAAAGAAGACTTAAAAAGCAAATATTTAAGTACATCGTACTTTGTATTCCAGACGGTTCGATTTTATTTCACCCCGAATAAAACACGTGTATTGGAAAGTTATTCATAGAGCTGCGTCGAGTTTTAATAACGAAAATTACAATGAATGAAAAACCAATCTTTTACAATAAGTAAATAATATTATAGCAAAATTAGATGAGAATTACATAAAGTACACATATCAAACTATATATATATATCTACAACTTGGAATATAGAAAGAAAAAAGTACAGTTTTTTTCACCGTACTGTGTGTTTCCATTGAATTTCATGTTTATGACGCAGTGAAGGCTAGCACGTGTTCAAGCTTCGCTGTACATAATAACAGTTACATGGCAAGGTTTTCATATTAAACTTACATAAAGTAATATAATGGTTATGTAATATAATAATAGGATGATAATATCCTTGTGATATTCAACTATTCCTTACGGACTTAGTATCCTTGAGACGGTTCTCCGCGTCGCCCTGACGCCGTTAGCACGTCACTCTCTTGTACTTGGCCTCATTCCATCTAAATGTTGACGAAATATTTATCAATCTTATCCATAAAGCCTCTCAGTACTTATAAACATCGATCTAATATGAATCAATTGTGATTTGTCTTGATACTTTTTGAAAATTAAAGCTAATTAATTATAACTTCCAATAATTATAAATCTTCTTGTTATACAGGGTGACTGGTGAATAACTATCAATATTTATGGAGAATACTCAATACTCAATACTCGGTACATGATTCTCATTCGAATTATGTAAAAAAAATAGGTACTTAATTTTTGACCAAATTTCCGTATAAATAAATAAAGTGTGGACACGTACCAAGTGTTCCAAGTGTGGACGCGTGCGGCGGCGTGCTGATACAACACCACGCCGCCGCACGCGTATGTGTGTGTGTGTGTGTGTGTATATATCTAATCTGTAGGGTGTTCACACGATGCGTAATTAATTACATAACTTTTGGTTAACTTTACTTAGAAGTTTATTAATATTTATGTTATACTAGTTTTTGCCCGCGACTTCGTCCGCGTTAGTTTGGTCAAGAGTAATATATGTAGGTATAGCTGACCAGGCGAACTCTATTCCGTCTTAGAAGCCATAAATAATCAGGTTTTTCCTGTTTCAATCAAACAGAATGATTGACATATTAGTTAGTTGTCAAATCTAATGTCAAAAAAAACCACGTTTGTATGGGAAATAGAAAAGGGCTGTTTTTAGGGTTTTCCCGGCAATTATTCCAATTTTTCTCACCTTTTAAACCTTCCCTGGACTTCCAGGAGTATTTCAAGACTAAAATTAGCCAAATCGGTTCAGCTGTTCTCGAGTTTTAGCGAGACTAAGGAACAGCAATCCATTTTTATTTATATAGATTAACTTTTATTTTGTCATATATGATCGTCAAATATCACGTCCTCAAGTATCGATAGTAATTCACCAGTCACCCTGTATACGTGTTATTTGTATGACATGAGAAAATAAAATAATTTCGAGTGCTATAAAATCGTTATATGCATTTTATGATCCATTAAAAAACATGAAAATACTATAATCATTAAAACAACGGAAAATCTAGATTTGCAGGCATTTTAAGGCGGCAATAAAACATCCATATATAAAAACAAATTTGATTCATAAAACGCAAATATAACAAATAATAATATTTAGCGACCTTGGCAGGTAACTCGCCATTGGCAGTAACTTATCAGCATTACGAATGAAAGATTCGTAACACTATATAGAGGTGAATTTCTTCAGTCCTTCACTGTATAAACATACGTGTTTAGTGTCAAATGTGATGTAATATATAATTATTATGTACAAATTGTCAAGAGATCGGAGTGTTTAATGTTGTCGAGGTGAATAAATGTAGAAGGATGACGTCTTTGAAGCACGGTGTTAATCTCAGCCGTCGTGCTTGTAGGCAGCGAATAAGCCTGCTAGCAGCGGCCACGCTTCTGTCAGTAGCATCAGCAAACCCTATTGAAGTAAGTAAATACTTTTATAACCCCTATTCAATCACTACGTATTATATACCTCAATATTATCAGTAGAAATTATTATGGAATATAGCCATAATATATTAGATTCATACCAATTTTTATTCAAGTTAACAAACAGAAAGCAACAATCATGGACAGTTTCTTTTTTGTTTATACCCTACAATGTAAAAATTATTATAAAGTTTTTAATGTTATTTATCATAACATAAAAAGTACTAAGATTTTTCTTTGAAAATACATACAATATTATGTGAATGACATAAAATCAATAATTCAGTATAATATTAATAAAAAGTATTATCAACGTTTGTTTCCGCGTAGTCCATATTAATTTTACTGCTTTACTTCTTATTGTCCGTCGAACGTGTTTATGAATAAAAGAGCCTATTTTATTTAAGTACTTCTCTATTATTACATTGGTTCCTCTTTCTTCATAAAACAAAACAGTATTGTTATTATAATATTTTAATAAGCTATATAAAACTTGATGGCTTTGGACTATTATATTGACAGATTTATCTGAAACTTTTGTTCTTTGTACTGATAAGACACATATTAAATAATAGAAATTATTATTCTATATAAAGACAGATTTTACAAAGATCAAAGCTGAAATGCGTTTAAAAAGTACAGGAAGTCAAAGAGTTTAATGATGTTTTCCTATGAAATATCTATTCCCGTTCTAACTTACGGTTATCTGAATAAAAAGCACATATCCTCTTCATAGTAAAACCATTAACAGTGTAACAGTCTCATAAACTCCGTGATGTACTCTTCAATAAAAGTAGAAAGTAGTTTACCGAGATACAATTACAGTTCACGAGAGACTAAACTTTTCTCGTTTTAAATTGTCTAGACATGGACAAGTTAATTATATCTATATCTAAGTAGAAAAGCTGTCAGTCTATCTAATAAGTTCGTAGATACAAAGTTTCTCCATAAACGGTAGTGGTGTTTAGTTGGAATTTAAGTGGAATTGTATAGTTGAACTAGGATTTGAATATTTTAATACCTCAATCGCATGACTTTGAATTGTTTTAAAGAATATATAAAATTTTGTCTATGATTCAATGAATATCCGTTGATTTAGTTTTCAAGTTTATGTGAAGGTCGCCGCAAAATACAAAGTGTCCGCTTAAAGGTCAAGAATCAAGATACAATCCGTGGTTGCCAAGATTTCAGCTTTGTCGCAAAATCCTATGTAGGAACTCAAAAAACACCATCTCAAAATTGATTACTTAAAGAACATAATTTTAACAAACATTGTGACAAAAATTTGAATTTTGTATTTTTGTTTTCTTTTTTATAGACGATAAATTGTTTGTAAAAAGTTTCATAGTTCATTTATTTGTATCTTATTATATTATTTTAGTTGTCCATTTAGTTCTGTTCCTATATATTCTTTTATATTTATTTCAATAAAAGTATCAAGGGATAATATTCTATTATAATATCTTTGGGCGAAATGTCATATTTCTTGTTAAAAGTGAAATCCTCTTTACGTCTACGGAGACCAATCCGCTGATGCTAGCTACTTTTGACAATATGCTGCACGAAGGCTAAATAGACATTTGCATTTCTATTTTTAGCATGAGGCTTTAAAATATTTTGCAGCCAGACTTGTTTAAACAATACAAATGTTTAGGTTTTATATTGTAATTGAATATGAGACTATGAGAGGGCTACGTCATGTGTTATTTTGCTTTTTGAATAAAGTATTTATTGTATAAGCCAGTACACTTCGTATCAAAGATCCTAGTTTGAAATTAATAAAATTATTTTATCACATTTATATTAAAACAAAATTATTACAGGTAACTACAAGAATAAGGTCAAATATTAGTTGGAGGTTTTTCAATTTCAACTACACTATTCAACTACAAATATCTCTAATATTTAATCACCATTGATCATATTTTCTTGGAAGGATTTTTCTTAATAGAGAAGAAATGCCAATGTATGTAACCAAAAGAGCAAAGTTCACCCACACTCTTTATAACCATTATGATTTGTTTCAACTATCTATATGAGCACAAGACACATAATTAGTATCAAAAGATCATATATACCTACTTGAATATACATAGAAAGGTTTTACTGTTTCGCAAAGGTTTCGGGCTAGTTGCAACAATTTCCTACAGTATTGAGTGGTTTCTGGTCTCATATGCCTGAAGTGTTCTGTCTTAAGTCAGTCAAGTCTTGGTTAAAGCTGCTACGGAACGTGTTTAAATTAAATTACTTTTAAATTCTGTCTTTAAAAATAATTAAAAACTGTCAAAATGTTTGTTTCACAGTTGTAGGATGAAGGACATACATTATAAAATTTTTTTTCGTGTGGAGTATATACTGATGCTAGAATAATTTAACGCTGCTTTAACAATTACTTTTCTAGTAGTATGTAGTTTTTGAAGCTTTGAGGAATTTCTCTTGGATGAGAAAAATCTCAAATACGGAACAAATGATATCGAATGTATTCATTGCTTAAACCGTTTCACAGATAAGAGTGAATATTTAAACACGAACAGAGGTGTTAAAACCTACTTTTACTGAACTTTTTGGAGTGGTTCAGAGCCGTCAGTTTTAAAATATTCATCCATGGATTTAACTTTTTAAAAATATTAAACTTATTCTTAACATTTTTATCTATTCACGCATAAATATACGTTCAGTGACGGATATTGGCAAATGTATACATATTACAAATATATATACAAGCAACTTTTCAAACTCTAACTTTATATTCACCCAAAAAGGCTGTTTGTAAATTAGATTTATACTTTTAAAAAGTGTTTATATATTTATTTCATACATTATAGTCTTAGTTTTGCTTAAAAAAAGTACCTATTGTGTGTACGTAAAACAATTTCATTATAAGTAATGACTCTTTTCTTTTTTATTTAGAGCACCACGAAACAGAGTCCGTCCATAATTGTCGATGGCATCTCAACGTACCCCGGGCTCGGCTTCGGGCCGATGGGACCAGTGGCGCCCCTGCCCGGAGAACCCCCGGGAACACAACTCCGTCAGCAACAAGAAACCACAACACAAGAAGCGACTACAACACCGAAACCAAAGAAAGAAAGGACCTTCGTGATTGCTGCGGTCGAATTCCACAGGGTTGAAACACCGTTCCTAATTGGAGTGTGGATCTTCTTTGCGAGCATAGCTAAAATAGGTAATTTTTGACGAGACCAGTCTATTAAAAAGTCTACTAAATTAGTCGTGATAAATTACAAAAATAAATGATGTATCGAATTTAATATGCGAAACTAATAACTCTATATTAATGAAATACAATTTAAACCACGACATTCACCAGTCTCATTCATTGAAAATTCTCAAGCGTCTAAATATATCAGTGACTCTCCCTCATACTTATTCTCGTTTACACGTGTGTTACGTGGCTTTTGTAATTATTTGTATATACGTAGAAAGTGCACTACTCATATTTAAATGTACAGAACTAGGCAAACTTTTATTAGGTTTAGTAACATTACGTTGTTTCAACACGCTACGAAAGCCGCTAATGTATTTTAAGTTTGTTGAGGAAATTATGAAATAATCTTTCTATATTCATACCATATGTTAATGTTTTCTTTAAAATGGTTAAAAGATTTTCTTATCGTTTGTATATACTTTTTATTTATACTGTTTAAACTTTAGAAATATATTTCAACAGGTTTAAGATATTAAAAATAATTGTGGTACAAAATAATATACTTTATATTCAACATTTAAAAAGAAAAACACAATTTTATAAAATAATTGGATAGAAACATGTTACAAACTCTTCTGTGTAAGCGGTCCTCTCCTTGAACTCGAGTGAACCAAGGTGTTTGCTCTAGACTTTCTTCGTCGTCTGACAGAATATGCTTTCTTATATTTATGGTTGAAAAAACTTCTACGAGATTTAGTTAGGTACGTATTAAAGCGATGTCTGTTTGTCTTGCTGCTGAGTTCTGTGTCAAAGTAGTTCCTACTACATGAATTAGTGTTAGTGATAAATGCAGCTACAAAAGGCGAGTTGGAAACTGGGTTAAATCCGGTATCACGCTTATTTTTAGCATGTTTCCCGTGAGATGGACAATGGACATCAATTTCTAAAGAGGACGTTGTGAATGTAGACATTGATAGTTCTTCGCCAGAAATCGGATTCGTACATTTATCTTCGTATCTCAATGTATGATAATTTGCGTAGAAATTATTTGCTCTGGTGTTATTTAAATCAAATGACGAGCTCGAAATTTTCGATTGGAGTGTTGAATTTTTCGGAGATATATATTTGGATTTAAATTGGCAACCAACATCCCTAATATATATTACAACATCACTACTAGTACTCTTTTTAATTCTGTGCCTGACAGATGATCCGCATTTACAATCTAAACAATCGTACTGGCACGACTTATCGTATTTGCAGCAAAGACATGGTTTTGGCGAGGGTAATATAAATGGTGAAAATGTAGGCGTCTTTATAGTGTCAGAGTTCATTAAAAATCTTGAAGTATATTCGTTAACGTATTCACATGTATTCTGTCCTGCCCTAAATTGGTTGTCTACAGAATTATTCAGGGAATCACGGTGATAACCTACATGGTATTTATATCTAGGAGAATGACTATATTCCGAATTTTCTATTTCTTCAGCAGTCCTACTCAAGTCATCATAGTTTAAAGTCTTAGAAAACGGAACACATATTGGTAAATTCACACATCGTGGACGGTGTAGGCATTGTGGAATGTATTCACAGTTGTTATTCAAAACATTGACCCTTTGACATGACGGTACAACTGTACATGGGGGGTGATGTCTGCACCCTTTCGTAATTTTTATCGATTTTTGTTGGTTATATTTATGTGTAGAATATCTATTTTTATATTTGGTATTTACATAAACATTATCTATAGGTAAAATTTGACAAATCGGTACCAATTCACATGGGGGGTCATGATTACATGTATCGATATCATTCTGAATAGGATTTTTTAAAGGTAAATTTTCTGTGGGTGTGGTGAACCCATTATTACGAGGATTTGGTGAATTTCTGGCGTTTAAAACTTCTTCTTCGGTAGTACTCAGAATGTCAAGTCTTTCATTACAATTCGGACAAACGACTTGTTTAACTTTTTTCTTTGACTTCGTTTTACTGTGAGAGTTATCTTTGACATCCAAATTATTATCAGTTCCTTTTGATGTTTCCCGTCTCAAAGACATTTGTGTTGCTGGTCCAGCAGAAGCAATTATGTCATATTTATTTGCATAATTCTTTACATCGGAATGCGTTTGTATTTCTTCATTACAGTCGTATTCTTTGGAATATTGTGGGCTGTTATTTATAAGAAGCTGATCTTCAGCAAGAAGTGGTTTAGAAGTATTAGTTACTTGCTCTGTCAATGTCTGAGTTTTACTACTTTTGGCCAACTCTGTTAGAGATTTTTTATCACTACAGGGACACGCATATGAAAATAATTGACACGGACAAGGATCTTCAGTGCGTTTACCGCGATCTTTTTTCCGTCCCTTCTTTTTTTCTGATGTAGGGTTAGTAAATTCCGTACGATACTTAGCAAAGGACCAAAACTTTTGTTGACGTAATTCTTGTTCTTGTGCATAAGAGTTACACTTCTGGCTAACACCATCGTCATTAAGAAATATTTCCGATGATATCATTGGTTCGGTAATGCTTGTTCTTTTACATTTCTTAGAATTTGTTTGTGAGCTGTCACGTACTCTTAATTTCGGCTGTATATTTGTTTCACACTCTTGAACTATAGCTTCAGATTTTGCAACAAAACATGTTTTATTATTTTTATTTGAATTTCTCTTAAGTTTCACACTTTTGGAAACCAGACCTTCCGCCATAGAGTGATACGAATGTCTTTTCGCTATTTTATCTAGATCGTAAAACAAAGTACTTGTGGATCTTACCATAGATTTATCACTAATATTTTTGTTTAAGGCGTGATAGTTTTCACTTGTAACATAAGATGTTTTATTGAATAAATGTGATTCTTCCGTATCGTAAGAGTTCTTACATTTGGCATAACAACTTGCCTGAAAAACTGGTATTGCATTTTTCGTTTTCTGGTCATCCAAATGATAAACATCTTCTAATGGTGCAGGGCATAAAATATCAGAAAAACTTGAGAATAATCTTGGTTGACTTTTGGTCCCTACGGATGAACAACTCATTACAACTAATTTAATTTATTTTTCTTCTCAAATTGTAAAGGCTCATTACTTGAAAATTTATTATTTCAATATTTTTTTACCTATTTCTACTACGTCAAGGACCTAAGCAGTTACATAGTAAAATGACTTTCTAATGACATTTTTTTGTCGTTTGTGTTATTCCATCAAAAAAAATATTAATATATATTTAATCTATATAATTTTTATTTTTAATTTTAATTGATACTTTTGTTACATTATTTTTATTTTGATATACATTTTTATCCTTACACTTATATGACTACTTATTAACAATTTATGTAATAATAAGATGTTAAGGACTATAGTTACTATTTGATCTTACTTTTCAGGTTTCCACATGGCACCGAAGTTATCGAAGATGTTTCCAGAGTCCTGTCTCCTTATTTTCGTCGGGGTCCTGATCGGCGCGTTGTTACTAAGTACCCACAGTGTGCACGTACAACCATTGACGCCAGATACATTTTTTCTCTACATGCTACCACCGATCATTCTAGACGCTGGATATTTTATGCCCAACAGACTATTCTTTGACCATCTCGGAACAATCCTACTCTTCGCAGTTGTGGGCACTGTATTTAATACTATTACGATTGGTAAGATCTAAAATATTATACCTTATTATTTGATCTTCGTGTTGAATCTAACTGAAATAATTTATTGTTTTTCAATTATAGGTGCTTCTTTGTGGGCATGTGGACAAACCGGAATGTTTGGATGTACAACGCCTTTATTAGATATGCTGTTATTTGGGGCACTAATCTCAGCCGTGGATCCAGTAGCAGTGCTCGCGGTTTTTGAAGAAATTCACGTTGATGAAGTCCTTTATATTGTCGTATTTGGGGAATCCTTACTAAATGACGCCGTAACTGTTGTACTTTACCATATGTTCGAGGCTTATACGTAAGTTACTCTCTATTAATTGTAACTTATAAATCGAAAAGTATTGTTTTCTATTATAATATATTTGACTTTTACAGAGAGATGGGTCCATCTCGGCTTATGTATACAGACTTTTTGGCTGGTTTCGCATCTTTCTTGGTGGTGGCAGTCGGTGGTACTTGTATTGGGGTCGTTTGGGGTTTTGGTACTGGTCTCGTTACACGCTTCACCAATGAAGTAAGAGTAATTGAGCCCATTTTCATATTCGTGATGGCATATTTGGCGTATTTAAACGCGGAGATGTTCCATATGAGTGGCATACTGGCGTAAGAAAACTTCCACTATATGCTTTTTAAATTTTGTAGATTGTAACTAAGATATTTAATTGTTTTTTGTATTTTGTAGGATAACCTTTTGCGGTATTACAATGAAGAACTACGTAGAAGCCAACATCTCGCACAAATCGCACACAACAATTAAATACACCATGAAAATGCTATCATCTTCGTCGGAGACTATAATTTTTATGTTCCTGGGCGTCGCTACTGTCAATAACAATCATGATTGGAACACTTGGTTTGTGTTGTTGACTATCGTTTTCTGCTCAGTATTTCGTATTATAGGTAAGACAGCATTATTTTATTATTTATTACCATTACACTATTAATTGATTAAATATTTTTTTTACAGGAGTGTACATATTTAGTGCTGTAGCTAATAAATTCCGTTTGCACAAATTGAATACGGTGGAAAAGTTCGTTATGTCTTATGGAGGTGAGATTGAAACATAAGTAACTGATACGTTAAAATTTCAATAGAATATTCTAGAAATAACCTCGTTTTATGTCTTGTTTGTTGATATATGTAATCATAAACGTTTTTATGGGATATTTAACCGTGACCTGTATGTATGATTTACATTTACCAGGTCTTCGAGGCGCGGTCGCCTTTGCATTGGTGCTATTAATAGATCCCGAAGTAGTAAAGCTCCAGCCAATGTTTGTAACGACAACAATAGCTGTTATATACTTCACAGTTTTCATTCAAGGGATCACGATTAAGCCCTTAGTGAAGATATTAAATGTTAAAACTGTTGAAAAGAGGAAACCAACGATGAACGAGAGGATTCATGAAAGGGTAATTTTGTATCATTATAACATTTATTAAAGATCTAGTAAAAAATATGTATATTTATTTCCTGTATATGTACTTTTATTTGTCTATTTATTTCTGAAATTGTAGTATCACAATCATTAAAATTCTTACTTACAAGTAGATAAAGTTATATGCAAAAATAAACCTAGTTTACTTATAGGTTAATTAACATGAACAGCATTTAATAATGAAAATCTATCACTAACTTTTTTCTAGTTCATGGATCATCTAATGGCAGGCATAGAGGACATTTTAGGCAAACATGGAAATCACCACATGAGAGATAAATTTAAAAGATTCGACAATAGATTTATACGACCATTTCTGCTGAGAAATTATCAGGTAATTATTCATTATGCTTACTTACGTGATGAATTTAATTTAGACTAGCATCAACCAAATGTTCGTTCCAGGGCCAAGAGCCAAAAATTCTAGAAACGTATTCGAAATTAGCGATGAGAGACGCCATAGAGTATATGCAAAGGAATGCATCTACTATTGGAAATATATCCGGAGCCGAGTCAATGTCAGCTATCTTTAAGAATTACACCAACGCTAATTTTAATGGCAGGTACGAGAAATAGTTACATTTTCTATGCACTTATTAAATATATATAAACTTCATTAAATAAATAATAACATAATTATTTGTTCAGCCCCAGTTTTAGCCAGCTAGATTCGTCTACTTGGAATATAGATATGCAAGAATTGGAATACAATCCGTCCAAAAAGGATCTAACTGACGCCAGAATTCACCATCTCCTCGCCGAAGAACTCTGCAAGCCATATCGACGTGTAAGTATACTTTTTGTATGATAAATCATATTCTCTTTACTTTAAGAATGTTATCTATATTAGATAATTTCCTTAAAGTAAATATGTGGCTATAAAATTAATATAAATCAATATATCGGAAGACTGAAAGAGAAATATCTTTTGCTTAGTAAAAAATCTTTCTCTTGCCGCCAGCATCGTCGATTAAGCTACAGTCGACACGCTGTAAATGACCGTGATCTGGGTATGCAGGTTAATTACAAGACACATATGAACATACGGAGGCTTGTTGGGGACAGGAAGCATCACCACAAGCGGAGTAAACGAGGGAAGCAAGTGAGTCGGGAACGAAGTGTTCTAGAATGTTCTAGAATGTTCTAGAAATGTTATTGATGTTTATTTAGTATTATATAGGTGTTCATCTCATGTTATAGGAGTATATTGTTGATGTTATATGTTCGATGTTATTAACAAAATGTTTAGTTTAGCCTTAATAGTGATTGAATTGACAGTTTTTATATATTTTGTTTGATTACAGGATGGGAAAAATCATGTAACTTTTCCCGAGTTCCAGCAAAACGGTTCGGCCAAACAGTTCACGCACGGTAAAAAAAAATATTATAGATTAGGTACTTAATGATTTTTTAAAATATTATCACGAGTGTCAATCGCATGCACGTGTGGGTTAAGTTATTTTTTTTTTGTTTATTTTATTTGATGACATCCTTACTTTTTATTTTGCAGCACAATTGGTATATTAGGTTACATCAAATTGATTTTTTTTATGTATATATTATATTTAATAATTTTTTGGCTTCTATTTATTTTTTTGCGTCTTAAAACACTTTAGTGACTTGTGATAGAAAATTGAACACTTTACACATGTGCTAAAAGAAGTAATGTACATAAAATATTATTTACTGGATCATACCATTGCTTTATTATTGTTATTTATTCCAGTGGTTAGTTTTTTCACACAGTCTCAAAACAAATGTTATTGATAATAAATTTTCACTAAATTTTCTATGGTAAATTCAAATATTTTTTTATTAATTATGTTTTTTTAATTAAAATTAACATAACCTCTTTGTGGACTACGGTCTGTTTAATGAAAATAATAAAAAAAAACAAACATGTAAATGAATTTAAGAAGATCGTAATAAAAATCAGTTAAATTAGAATTCAGGAAGAGAAAAGTGGCGATAATGGATTCTTTGACCGTGGTTTCTGTTGTCTGCAGACTACATAGACGAAGTGCTCCAAGAGGACGAGGAACCTCGTCGCGAGAATGATGATGGCGGTATAACTTTCACAGCCAAAACCCCGCGTAGGTATTCTGCATGGCAAATTCCCATTTTGAATTTGAACATCAGAATAAACTTAACAAATGTTCAAGTTCAGATGCTCTTGATGTTGTTTTAAAATATTATTTTGCAACGTCACTTTTATTTTTAATAAAAAAAAAACATATATTTAAAAATGGAACTAACTTGGTATGTACTAATGAATATTTTTAAAGCATTCCATTCCGTCGAATACGAATGTTTAATGCATTTTGGGTATTTTTTTTATGTTAACACTGCTAATGATTTTTCTGACATGACTTGAAATACCTTCGTGGATATATTTTGATAATTAAGAACACACGTTAGACATAAAGTTATTAACAAGTATGGGTTTGAATGTGCTTAGTTAAATCTTGTTTTGCTAACTGACATTTGCCACTTATCAATTTGCGAAGTTACTAGTGACTTCTGAAGCTTCTCTGTATAATAAATCTTTCATCTCGTGTCGTTGATGTTCAACCTTGGCCTTTACATCGAGCGACAATATGTCTTGGTAGATTAGATAAAGTTACAAACTTCGTTAGAGCCATCCCATTGTACCAATTTCTTTTATATACATATTGTAGTATATTATGAAAGGGTGTTATCTCAATATATCCACGAGTGTATCTACTAAACTTCTTCGATAAACGCTCAGTTTTGCTAATGTAATCATGTACTATCTTTTTAAAGGTATAGTTAACTTGCTCTCTGCTTTTTATCATTGTTTGAGTTTGATTGTCGTTTTCTTCCCTTCTGGCAACATCTGACGCCTCAAAATGTGCTGTGGCGATACTTATATAGCTGGATGTAACGAAGTCAGTCTTACATCCTCGCAAAAGGAGAACAGTAGTTCCCTTCTTAACCAATTGGCTAACCTGCCTGGCTTCAATCCTCTGAAAGCGAGAATTGTTAAGCAGTACGCTAAAACACCAGAGGAGATATTGCCAACGGCCGTTGAAAAATCACTTCCCTGGCGAAGAGACAGGTCCACCTACAACTTCGGTATGTGTATTAAAAGAAACACACTTACGCTTCTGGATGAAAAGGCGATGTTATTTTGTTTATCTATGCTTAATTATGTAGTTCGATCATTATCATGAAATATAAAAACGCATGTGTGATGTCAATAGTTGAATTCAAACAGAGAATAACTTGTGAAATATATTCCACCAATAGCATTCATTCATATATTTTAAATATGTAATCTTATTGGTGGACACGTTGTTTATTTGTTACGCTTCCATATTTTTGCTGCATGTTGATAAACTGTCAAACATGTCTTAAAACGTTCGTTTAAAGAAGCTGCGCCTAGCGTTCAGTTAAATCTAGGTAGAGCTTCATTAGTACAAATCCGCCGCTGAAAAGATTCACGTCGCATTCAACTTTTAATGCACTGTCATTTAGAAAATATAAAAAACTTTTTGATTCATTTATCTTCATGCAGTGGAATAAATTCATTTTTGTATTGTTATATAGACGTATTTAATTATAGTCCTTTTTGTTGGATATTTAGTGTCCCTTTGTACATATAATAGTTTTATTTGTAATCGTATTAAGTGTAGTATTTTGTACATTTTCTGTGTAATGTTTCAAACGATAGATAAATAGAAACTGTCTTAGTATCATAGTTTAATGATGAAATAAAATAGTAAGTCTAATATATTTCAGCTATGAAATAACATGTTCGTGTTATATAATGATTATGAAACAGCATGAAAATTTTTGGATAACTACATTAATGTTATAAATGGAATAATTTTAGTATCACTCATCTGCAAATTCATAGTAAATTAATAAACATAAATCACTTGAACTATTGCCAATATCAGAATTAGCAATGCATTTCATGCGACTCCTGCCAAACTTTAGACGCATGTAATTTATTATATTCCTACCATTACTACGATAAGTAAAAATATCTCTTTACCTTTCAGTTCCAAATGAGGATATCCTTGAAGAAGACGAAAGACGAATGTCAGATGATAATGGTAAAGACATAAATATATTTTTAATCTAATACTATTTCTTATGCTAAAGCAAAGCCATTACAACTAAGTATATACATACGTTGTTCTTCTCAGATTTTTTTTCATATATGGACTCTTTTCAAATATGGTTTAAGTCTTAAGTCTGAACCCACCACTCCAGCCATTCGGGTTGGTGGTTGGTTATTTATTAATCGTTTCTAAATCAGATACATACATGACGATAGCAGAGCAGGGACGGGTCGCTACCCCTACGGCTACGGAGACCATGTTGCCATGGAAACGGGAGGAGGCAGAAGGGACGACAGCCCTCAAACAATCAGAGTTCCCTTCATGGGCCTCCAACAAGGAGTACCTAGCGTATAGCTCGCCATCGGCCACGTTTTTAGGTAAACACCTTTCATAACTCAAAAATCAGTTAGTCCAATTGAAGCACAGAAGTAGAAACAGCAAGAAAACATTTCAAACACTTAAAGAAGATATCACATCAAATCGTAAAGATTGAGTTTTGTATTAATTGTAATGGTATTTTTAGTATGTCATAATTTTCAACAAAAAAAGGTGTTTTTATTATCAAATATTTTTCTATGCAAGGGACTGCAATTCAAACGGTCATCGTTTGAAAATTGCATGCGACTCATGGTAATATTGTATTATAAAACACTTATGCAATAATTAGATACCCTGTACTAATTTTATTTGTTATTTTTCATTAGTTTTAGCATAAACTCAAAAAAGGCTTTTCTTTCAAACCCAAAATAGTAGCACTTTTCATTTTAAAGTTTTTACTTTTCACGAAAGTAACACAGAAACGTAGTGCTTTATCCGCACTTTTTATAATATTAAAAAATATATTTATCAGTCCTTAGCTTTTAATATATGTTTATTAAAACTTTATTGATTTTCTTTTTTTCTTCCCAACCCATTTTTCATCCATTCCATCCGATAGGTGGTATAGAGAAGCCAAAACATCCAAAATCTATCATAGGTCTGTTCCGAAGAGAGAGTACTTGCTCACAACAAGCTGCAGACTTGCCAGTCGTATCAGATTCAGAGAGTAAGGCTGATTCATTGAAGGGTGAGAGTTCTTCAGTGTGCTCCACGAAAGGAGAGTCCCTGTTATCACAAGCAAAGCAAGGGCCCAGTTTGTTGTCTAAAAGAAGTACAAGTCTTGGCGGACCTTCAGTTTTGTTGATGGAAGATGTAGCCCACTCTGATCCCTTGGGAGCTTCTTCAAGACCTGCTAGTATCATGCAGGGACCTCATCGAGGCCAATGCAGGAGAGGATCCATGTTGGAACTTACTGGGTAAGTTGATATAAAATCGTAATCTATTATAAATTAATGAGTAAAAAAAGGTTACTAAATAACTATATCGCGCCATAAGTGTTTGTCAATTTTTTATTAGGTACTAGTTTTTGCCCGCGACTTCGTCCGCGTTAGTTTGGTCAAGAGTAATATATGTAGGTGTAGCTGACCAGTCGAACTCTATTCCGTCTTACAGGCCATAAATAATCAGGTTTTTCCTGTTTCAATCAAAAAGAATTGACATATTTGTTAGTTGTCAAATCTAATGTCAAAAAAAACTTTTGTATAGGAAATAGAAAAGGGCTGTTTTTATGGTTTTCCCAGTAATGAATCAATTTTTCTCACCTTTTAAACTTTCCCTGGACATCCAGGAGTATTTCAAGACTAAAATTAGCCAAATCGGTTCAGCCGTTCTCGAGTTTTAGCGAGACTAAGGAACAGCAATCCATTTTTATATATATAGAAGATACCTTAAAATACGACAATTTTGTTATAGTAAGGATTTAAATAAGAAGGTTTTATTGTATAACAAAGATTATTTGACATGACTAAAATGAATGGACTTAATGTGATAGTAGTGAACTATTTATAGAAACAAGATTAGATTAGTTTTTTTTTAATAGAATTCGGTATAATATCGCTATCTATTAATTTATTAAATTTACACCAACTGAAAACAACTTTAAATAATAACTTTCAACTATCTCGATTTAAACTTATCGTGAAATAAAATTTGAATATAACCAGCGGCGGCTGTACCTTAAGTGCACTCGTGCGCTGAACCACCAATTCAAAAGATTTAAAAATTTCAAAATAATACTTCATCTTTATTTTTAAATTACCATTTTAATATATATTTTCTAAACATACAAAAACGTATAAAAAATTAAATTTCTAATTATAGTCAAAAAGTTTGTGCGCTTACTAAACTAATATCTCGTGCGCTCCAGCGAGTGCACGAGGACTCCTAATACATCTTGTATGAGATACGCATTAATACGCCTGGCGCGTGAAACAAAAGATAGTTCATAAAAATGTACCGAGTAACGAGTCGGTTCCCGAGCGCCGCACGAGCGAACCGAAGATTACCGAGAGCACCCGATGTATGACGAATTGGAATTGAAAAGAATCAAAACTTTTCTCCGAAATACCATGCACTTGCTAAATGCACTTTCTATGCTTAGTATTGAAAAAAATAATTATACAAACAATATCCGATTTTAATAAAAAGGTGATTGAACATTTCGCTTCAGAAATATGTCGTCGCATTGATTTAATGTTTAAAAAATAAACATATTTTATGTCAATTGGTTTTTTTGTTGCATTTTCTAATTTTAATATTTTATTAAAGTGCACCACCAGTTCGATAACCCACCAGCCGCCACTGAATATAACACAAATGAAAGACTTAAACACACATCTAAAAACTACGATTGATTAATCTATCACACTAACGAGCGAAAAATAGCCCTGATGTCTTTTGCCAACTGTTTATATGTCGTTCGAGCCTTTCCTACCCATACTTATTCCCACATACATATATATTTTTATATATATTTATATGCATTAATTCCAGCTCCTTATCTCGGGATGCAATAACAGAAGAGAAGTCTTGCAAATCGCTACCAGAAAGTGAAAGGATGGGTGTCCGCCGCCTCGCGCTGGGTCAGCAGAGCCTTCCGAGGGAATCTTTCATCAGACAACCGACCATAGCCTCCAACCTCCTCACTAGCTCATCTTCCGACGAATCCTCCGACGAATTCACCTGAGTAACCCGTTGTGGCAACCACGATAGGCTGCCACTACTCAAGTATAGGACTTTAGAATAGTTCTGATTCTAACAATTGAGGTATTTCCATACAGGACATTGGACGGACATCTCTGAAGTGTGATAACCAGCAAGTAGCCAGGGCTATTTAAATGACTTTTGGGGTTCCTGTGACGTAATATGTGTATAATTTCTTTATTATGTTTTGTCTTACCTTAAGAGTGAATGTATTTACCACTATTTTGTTATATTTTTTTGGGAATCTTAAATTCTATCCAACTATATTTTTCTATGCTTTTAACTTAATCAAAGTAATAGGTATTACATTTAATACAAACTGTATATTGGGTGGCTTTAATTATTGGACACGTAAATGTATTTCAGAACTTTTAATTCGATAAAAATAAAACTCACTCCTCCGAAAAATACTATTTAAACATTCTTATCGATTTTAAACGGAAGATAATGAAATAAGGATTTTCATTATAAAATTCCAAAACTCATCCAAATAGCATCACGAGTTTTGAAGAATATTACGGTCGTATACACGCTAACAATCAAAATGGTCGAATATAGAACTTCTTTTTAGAAGTCAGATAACCGCTTATATATAGAAGCAGAAAAGCTATTTGGTCAATGCTAAAATCTTGACTTAATATGGAGATGAAACATTTAAAACGGTATATTCTGAAACCATAATGGTTTGTATTAACTATGAAAAAGAAAAACTATTTGTTACTATCATTGGGATATTTAAACAGCTTTCTGTAGTAATCGGGAATTTTTACTACATTAGTACTTGAAAACAATTACTATTATAATAAATACGAGTGAATATTCACTGATGTATTTTATATAGACGTGTGTTTACTTCTGTCACAAGTACTGACAAATGACGTCTGTCATAAATTTGGGACTGTTTACTGAAGTTGTCAATCGTGAATTGTGTAAGTGAGTCGTAGTTATAAATTACCTCAATTATGCTCTAATATTATATTAGCTCAGCAATTGATTGTTATTAGTAAATTTGTTTGTAAAGTAGTTAAATTAAGAGCTGAATAGGTTAATTCGTACAATATGCTTGTTCACAAAGTTTGTTGAAATGTTTCTTCTATAAGTTAATTTTAATAATCCATATTCATATTAGTTTTTATTCGTTCATATGGCCTATATCCGATACAGCACAATAATGTATTTTCTTTTCTCCCGATTTTTGTTCTAATTCATTTTTAAATAATTACACAAGATTACATTGAAAAGAACTTAAATAAATTGTATCCCTCCCATAAATTCAATGTGAATTATTATAATTAATAAAATTAATGTCGTGTTTTTCTGGTTTGTATTTAATTTAAAAAGATAAATATTATTTTAGGGTCACGTGAGTTGTGATAATGTAAATATAATATATAAATTTGTGTATTAATTAATGTATATTTATAAAAATGTTGTTTAGAATTATTCTTTAAAGAAATGATGATAGACATTTGACAATAGTATAGCCTTTATTGTTTTTTACTTTAATAAGCATTTGATTAAAGGGCTGAATAACAAAAGCTTGTACGCATTTACTTCATGCGGCGATTAGGTGTTGGACATACTATGTGTTTTAAATGTAGACTATCGACATTTGCTAAATATTTTCAGAATATTATGGCATAATGACAACAACTTATAAAAATTTGGATGTTTAAATAAAACAATAAACGTTTCATACATTTTTAATAATAGTACAGTAATATAAAGAAAAAGTATGTTTTTTTTTTTTTAGTATCGAGGTATTGTGTTAAATTACGAATGTCAAGGTGATAAACAATTTATTATAGTTTTTCGTATATACATTTTCCACAAATGATTCCACGTATATGGTAAAAATAAAAAGTATTATTCAATATACCTAATTACAAAATATCGTTTCATTTAAAAGAGTTACAGTACAAAATTGCATTGTATTTCATCTGCTCACAGGCGGAGTGTAATAACTTCAGTTTTTTTATTTACGTCAAATAGATAAACTATTCAAAATTGTATCAACGCCACAGATAAATATAACACATAATCTGTATATTATGCTGAATATTGAATTCAAAAACATATTAATTAATTAGCTATTTTAACAATTCATGATTTTATTTTATAAGAAGAGTTAAAAATGAATAAAAAGATTGTTTTAGCCTTTACAAGTGTATTCAAAATGACAGGACTTTGCTATGATGAAAATAAAAATATGTTCTCGTTTCGTCTATGGTCGGTAAAAAGAAGATGAAATAAAAAAAATGATTTTCTTTAGTTATGTCATAATTTTAATAATTATGTCTGGATTGTTACATTTGTCTGATAAATAACACTATAGACGTGGTTAATAGTTATATTATAAGCTTTCTAAAAACTATGGAGTGTCAATTGAAAAAAAAAAATAGTGCCTAGCTTTAGTGTACCACATGTCATTGTTTTTAATCTTGTTATAATAACTACAAAAATTCTAGCAAATGATAGATTGTAAAACATTATTATTTGAAATAAATAATAATGAATTTAAATTATTTATTGTTTTTCTTTACCTTACTCCTATCAATAATCTATTCAATTGCATAAATTAAGACTTACATAAAAAATACGCAGAGCTGATTCTGCCAAGCTCCGTTGTATTTAATGTATATTTAAACTTAACTGATTTAAAAAGTCTGTTTAAAAGTCGATTACTTTAAGAGTATTCGTTGTTTATTTCTTTTTTTAAAAGAAAGCATCTCTCAAATATCTTATGATAATAATTTTAAACTCTCAAATATCTTATGATAATAATTTTAAACTCTCAAATATCTTATGGTAATAATTTTAAGAGTATGACATAGATAGAACTTTTTATATCTGAAAAGACTGAAACTGCGAAAACAGTATTATTTTTGTCTTCGCGAGAAAGATATTACATATACAAATATTACATTTGGACGTTATTAAGACATTCCCACTGTAATTTTAATATTTCTTTTAGAGTTTAAGAAAGTATGGTCTTCGAAAAAGGTTGTTTCAAAAACATTAATGATTTAAAATAAAATGTATCGAAATGTTAAATATTGTAACTAACAGTTTTTAAAATTTGAATTTCCCGCTTGTGGTTATAGCAATACACATTATTGGTGTATGCACTGTTATGTAGATGGCGCTTTTCCTAACAGTTATATAGTCTAGTAAAATAAAATAAATTATTATTTATTACTATTAAACAATTAGAATGTTATCATATATTTATAAATGAATATTTATTAATAAACAATAAAATATTTTGAAATATTATTGTCACGTGACCGTGCAGACATCAGTCAAACTCATACTTTATCTGTAGTCCGCTCGTTAGCCCGTATGCTTATTGCTTGGTGCCTTGTAGTTTTTCTTCCTGTTTATAATTTTCATGAAAAATAACGGAAAATGTCTCATAACTGTAAAACTTTATGTTAAGTTCATTTAAAATTTAGTTATTTCTAACAAAGAAAATTAAGTGTTTATTAGAAGTGTGATGTGTTTGAAACCTGTGAAGACGAGAATGAAACATACTTTTGTATTCTAGTAAATAATTCAAAACGGTAAGCGCTATATCAGTTTATAAACAATGATTTTATTGAGTATTCAAAAATTACCAGAACTGTGATGTATGTTATACAGAAGTACTTTCTAAATACGTTGATAATATTATCATTGAACTAAATTTACCCACTAAAAACTATAATAATTTTGCTACTTTAAAGTATTCTAAACAAGATAAATAGAGTTATGAAAAGCGATCATTTTATCTATTATTGTAATCTTATCAGTTCAGCTATCAATAAGTACTCATTCATATCCCATTCCTGCTATAAATATAAGACGTCGCCCGAAACTGTATTTAAAAAGTTAGAATTTTATTATGACCATACTATTCGCTATATAAGGAGTTATTTTTAAACTAAACATAGTTATTATGAGTTAAATTAGAACCTAAGAAACCAATAGTTTCAGTATTAAAGTATTTTGATAGGAATATAATTGTTTATACAAATATAAATCCTATAACACTTGTATTGAAGCATCACTAATTAAGTAAAAACATAATTTGCTTAACTAATTAGAAAAGTATCAAACAAAAAAGGTTTCATTGTCATTCAAATGTTCTTAAAAGATATAACATAATTTTACATGTGACTATAGATTTGGAAAAATATTGGATTACATTCTTTACATATGTTTTGAGTATTATAAGAGAGTGGTTTCCAATAGTACAGTCATTTTAAGAAAAATTAAAAAGGAGTGCTTTCTTAAAGTTAATTTCAAAAAGGAACACATATTTAAAAAGGAAAAGTTTAGATTTCTACCACCTAATACATAGTTAAGAAATAAATTTTTCCTCTTCCTTTAATAACACAATTTTTCTAAGATGTTATTCTTCCGTACATTGGTAAATAATATTCATATTTATACATATTAAGATTCTATGTCATCATTCTCCTTTCAAGTAATAAATGTTTCATTTTAATAAACATTTGTTTAAAATATATGTTGATTTCAGCTCAAAATGGAGCACTCCGATTTGGTGGCGGAGATGGCTCAGGTCGAGCATCTCACCACACAAGAAAGACTTCATCTGGCTCGGAGGTAAGAATTAACATATATAACATACTATCAGTTAAGTTACCGACTAAATCGGAAATAATAAGTAGATTTATTAGCATTAAATAACTTTACAAAGTAAGTTTAAGTAAAAGTAATAGAATTGTAACAGTGAAAGTATGTGAAATTTTTTTTTTAAGGTTTTTTTTATATTGAAATTATAATCATAGTATCCTGAAAGTGAAATCATGTATGTCTGTTAATTTTAAAAAATCATATAATATTTACTTAACCGATTTTAATGAAACACTCATATATGTACTTTCGTTTTCATATAATATTTAAAGCATTCACTTATTACAATAGAATCATTGGTTTTTACTTTCATTTAATCTTGACATACACAAGCTAGGAATTTGGTTTGGACATGAAATATACAGCCAATATCACAGCTAAGAAAGATTTATTATCATATTTAATAAGATTAATTTCCTGTGGTACTAAAAAATATAAATAAAGCAGCTTATACATAGTTAAAAGTAATAAGGGTTATTACACACTTAATTATAACTCTTGTTGAAGCTATTAAGTAATAAAACACTACCGTTGAACATTGTATGCCAATAAGTCATAATGCCACCTGCATATGAATCATTTCATTGGTTTTATAAAAAGTATAGAAAGTAATGTAAACTTATAATAGTAATTTTATTCATTAATTCAAATATATATATATTTTCCTTTTTTTATGCAGAAACTTCTTTTCCGGAATTATTTGTGGATGCTTAAAAGTGTTGTCGGTTCTAATATGTTTTTATTGTGTGACATTTAATTAAACTGTCAGATAATTTCACCTTCAAACGTGAGAGGCAGTGTTGGCGTAAAAGATATCTATATGATTGCTCATTAATTGAAAATTTTATTTGAGAATTTCGTTACATTTTAGTACTTTTATAACATATAATGTAAAAAGCAAAGTGTTGCAGTTCTCAAAATGTTTATACATTTTTGTTGACAAAAATGTTTTTTATAAGAACTTTGTCAAAACAATACCTGAAGATATGTATATATGTATGTATGTATGTATATACAGTTATTAAAAATATGCAGAATATACTTCGAATTCCTTAGTTCCTTATCTGTTAAATTCTTTATAATTGAGATTTAAAAATGACTAATACTATTTTGTAATATGACCGAAATATCTCTATTTATGGTCTGTTTGCGGAGGTTCATTATGTGGCGTAGATAAAGCAAGGTTTAACAGCAAACACTAATTTTAAAAGTTTGGTGTAGAGTAAATTAATTACAGAGATTTTCTGATAATAATGATAACAGAGACGAGTGTTATTGGTTAAGCTGATGTTTTTAACCTACTACGTAAAAAGAGAGTTATTATAAGTTTGATGACTACATATGTTTGTTTTTGACATCGTAACTCTGCAACGGATTGACCGATATAGATGCGGTTTCTTTCATTTGAAAGGTAGATTTCTTGCGATGGTTTTTGTTATTATCAGTTGTTTGCCAAAATGATGTAAGGAATTTTTGTCGTACGATTATATTATTAATTGTTTCATGAGTGCCACAGTAATGGTTGAATACCGAAAAATCCTCGGAATTTTTTATTTTGCTGTTGAATCAATAAGTCACCTCTATGTTAACATACGTTGACACTCATGAATTGTATTTAAAAATGCTTTTATATACTACAGATTAAAAATTATAGTTCATCTTATCTCAGTACAAGTGAAAGTGTGAACAACAAAAACTCGCGTCTTGCAATTTATATAAAAACAATTGGTCCTTGAGCTACAAAACTATTACTATAGAAATTCAATGAATCTGTTCTATATTTTTTCACTTATATGCTATTAGTAGGGGATAAAATATATATGAGTAGGGGATACAATGCTGAAGTCATTACAAAGATATCCTCGGATCTATTTCCTTTAACATAATACAGACGAAACGACATATATTTTGCTAAATAGAATTAACCTACTTTTTTGCATAGCGTATAAGGCTAAGTAGCCTTGGAAGTCCATAGAATTGTAAAAAAAGGAAACTTAGTATAAATATTATGAAAAATTCTAAAGATCTCTTTATAATTAACACTAGCTGCGCTCCACGGTGTTACCCGCGGATTTCCGGGATTTCCAAGATTTCCGGAATGTTAAGTAGCCTATGTGTTATTCCTGGACGTCAGCTTCCTGTATACAAAATTTTATCAAAATCGGTTCAGCCGTTTGATCGTGAAGAAATAACAAACAAACACACACATTCACAAACTTTCGCAATTATAATATTAGTAGGATGAACATTAGAAAAACATATACATTAAACATTTACATATATTTTTAAATGTTTACACCACTTGATGATTTTTTTCATTTGCTCCGATCACGGATTTACGAGATTTAAGTAGAAATGACTGTCCCTTTAAATTACTTAAGAAGAAATTTCATGGAACAGAATTTTAATTGAAACTGATTTTTATTATCATTCAAAACTAGATATTCAGTTATCAGTTTTTATTAATAATTATAATAACATTCGAAATTATTAAAAAACTATAAAAATGATTTCTATGTTAAAGAGTTGTTAACCTAATATATAATTTAAACATGTATTAATTGATTATTTTTAAAAGCAACCACAAAGTGCTAGCAAGTTCGAATCCCGATTGTGTTGAAAAAAGTATAACGGGTAAATTTTATCTGGAATTATTTATTAACATACAAAATCTGCTTGATACCAGATAATCTGAATCTTTTTCTTATTCACAGACAACCATTTTTTTTCTTATATTACATTTACATGTATTCCGATTTAATTCTTACTCGTTTACATCTCAACTAAACAATAAAATTACTATTAATCTAATTATAAAAAAAAAAATTACTTGTTTTAATTAATAAATAGACATATCCACAAACAATTATGCACTGTTTGAGAAGGAAATAGAATACATTTTAGTAGTTCAAGTATTTTGAAACTTTATACAAAATAATTTTCAACAAAATTAATTAATCTCAACACGATATAACAGTATTGCACTAAATGCAAAGTTAGTCATGACTCTCACTTTTTATAAAACTTTCACTTTGCGAGTAACAATCTTAATTTCATACATATATTATTACATTTAAAAGAGTATATGATGTACATTTATATATAAATTGATTGTCTAATAAAGTAAATTTAATATGGGATATTCATATTTAATCAAACACTGATTTAAACAAAAAGTTTTTATACAAAAAGGTTTAATAACTCCTGTCAAAAAAGGTTTTCATTTATAAAGGTTTTAAACGTCATCGTTATTTAGCGAATCGTTTTATGATTTATCATCTGTTGTAAACGTTTGACGTACATTCGTTTAAGGATTTTAAAATTTACAAGCACAGGGTCAACTTTCTTAAACTTACAAAATTATGCAATTTAGACCTGTATGTAATCAAATCGAGTTGCTTACCACTACTACTGATTATTTATATATATATTTTTATACAACGATAACACGAAAATCTCTTTAATAATTTTCGAAGTAATGTTATTCGAGTTGACGGTGAGCGAATTTAATATTTTTTCCTTTTTATTTCTTCACGCGCTTTTGCAACTATTCAGAAGCTATAACTTTTCATATGTATGGCAATTAATCTTCTATCTTCTATATATATAAAAACGGATTGCTGTTCCTTAGTCTCGCTAAAACTCAAGAACGGCTGAACCAATTTGGCTAATTTTAGTCTTGAAATACTCCTGGAAGTCCAGGGAAGGATTAAAAGGTGAGAAAAATTGGAATTATTGCCGGGAAAACCCTAAAAATAGCCCTTTTCTATTTCCCATACAAACGATTTTTTGACATTAGACTTGACAACTAACTAATATGTCAATCATTCTGTTCGATTGAAACAGTGGAAATTTAATAAATACCAATACCGGGTTATTGAAGACGGAATAGAGTTTGCCCGGTCAGCTATACCTATATTACTAATGACGAAATTAACGCGGACGAAGTCGCGGGCAAAAACTAGTAAACTATAATAATACACATATGTTCTACTTCATATCACGATTTGTATGTCCCAAATTTAGAGCCTTTCGGGTCTTCAAGCATGATAGGATTACAAGCAAATTAACATATATGTCGGAATATGAAACAGGATATAGGTTTCTCCTATGTATCGTTGTAAAAGCTAAGACAATTATTAGTAGACAAACAAAGGATATATTATTTATATGTACATCCTTAATTCTGTTTTGGCATCGTCAGTCTATGTTATCGTATGTACGAAGTATTCCCCGTTTCCCATTCAATAAGCTAAGTAAATGTCCGAACTTTATGAATGAAATACTGTAAAAATTTCGTATGTTATTTAACGATAATAACTCAGATAATAACTCAGGTAAGCTACAGTTTTATAATTATCTAGTTTTTGCCCGTGACTTCGTCTGCATCATTTTTAAAATTTAAAATGTATAAGCTGGCCGGGCGTCCTCTATTTATTAATTTTTTTTCAGTCTAACAGAATGAAAAGTATCTTATGTCCGTCTCCTGGTTCTAAGCTACCTCTCCGCCCATTTTCAGCCAAATCCGTACAGCCGTGCTTGAGGTATAAAAAGTGTAACTAACATGCCTTTTTTATAAGACAGACCATAATCTTTTTGAACATTTGGCCATCAAAATTTATTTGATGACCAAATTTTACTTGAACTACTAAAAAAAATTCAGTTAGCCGCCTCATAACAAACAAAAGTATTAATACTAATTTTGCCTGCGACTTCGTCCGCTTTGACTTCAAATTGATTTAGAGTGTGCCAAAAGAATGTACGTGGAAACAATCTCTCACCAACGAAATATGTAGTCTAAGTCACATGACTTCATACAAAATGCATTTGTTAAGTTCTGATGCTGCGGAAATGATAAGATTAAGATAAATATTTATATATACATACATCCGGACACAATAACTATCGAGTTTATTATATATATAAAGTGGACATAATCAATCAAAATCAAAATAGTCAGTGGTGGCCTAGTGGTTAAAAGGCCCGCCTCTCATGCACGAGGGCGCGGGTTCGATCCTGGCCCTGGCAAGTACCAATGTGGTTTTTCCGAGGCATGTGTACTTTCTACGAGTATTTAGACATCACTGATTAATGCATTCCCAAAATAGGGTTGATATCAGGCAGGCGGCCGGTCGTAAACACAATTAGCCAAAACTATTCACAACATGTAAGGCAGACCCTGGCTAAAGCTGGGAGATTGCCAGGTAAAAGAGAAGATAAAATGTAATCAATATATTATTTCTTGTATTTATAATCTTTTACCATCTCTGTTTGTACATTGTGAAGTTTTGAAACCATTCCCACGACGTCAAAATAATCGGTATGAGCTCGGATAAATTAGCGGAGTTTCAGCGGAATGCTTGACCGACTATTATATTTTGTAACTAACAATTGTATATATCTGTCAAAAGCAACCTTGGTCTTTTTTATTATTATGAAGAAACTGTTTATTATGACTACACAAAGTTTCTTCTTATTTATTAAATCCCTACTAATATTATCAATGCGATAGTAACTATGTCTGTCTGTCTGTTACTCTTTCAGGCCTAAACCACTGAACTGATTTTAATGAAATTTGGTACAGACATAAAGTTGACCTTGAGAAAGAACAAGATAGTTTTTAATTCCAGACTTTTGAAAGGTTCTCTTGGAAACGCAATATAACCGAACTCCACGCGGGCGCAGCTGCGGGCGGAAAGCTAGTTGATAATAAAATCGTTTCCCCCGATTTGCACATATTTTTGTTTCGAGAATTCGCTTATCGGTTTTGATAAACATTTTATAATTATTTCATCTGAATCATTTTTTATAAGTTAATCGGTGCACAAATATTTTAGTATCTTACCACAAGTTTTCATTGTCACTACATACGGCGCGTTTGCCGTTTTTCACTCGTAAATCTACGTTATACTATGTACGAAGATTTATTAATGAAAAACTGGTAACGCTTCATATGCAGTGAGACTATTGAAACTTGTGGTAATTATATAAAGGTTTAATTCTATAAATAAAGTTAAGGCCCCGTTACCTATCATTATAGTCTTGTTAAACTTTTTGAGTAAATATTGTTATTTCATTTATCATAATCATAAAGTAATTTTCCTGTTTTCCATCCCGTTGGTTGTTTTGCTGTCAAGAAGTCTTTTATTCAATGTCAAATCTACTACCAAAAAATATTTCATCGAAATATGTTCAGGTAGATTCGTAATATTAGTTACACTTCACTATAATAACAATAATTTACTTAGTTTGAAACTACTTTGTAGAAGAAATATACAAGAAGCTTTTGATATAGAGTTGTAAGAAAAAAAAACTACAACTATTAGTAGCAAAAAGTATTATTTATGTATATTGTTATCGAAATTAATTAGGATATAAGTATTTTATCTACATTGTTTATATGTAACAATGAAAAATTTTGTTACAATTTTCTACCTCTACAAACATGTCACATTCGTACAAATACATACAAGTTTTTTAGTTAAATATTTGCAAGAATAATGAATAATGGACAAGTCGTCATAGTCCTTCAAATGAACAAATACACAAAAAAAATCTTAAAGAAATAATAATAATTCTACTAAATTGTTTGTAATGATAAGCATATCTTGTTCAGATAAGACTAAATAAGATTCGATGTTTTGTTACGAGATCATCATTAATGACTGACTATTTTTGTATTAGTAAAAGTTAGGCTTAACTCTACATAGAAAGCGTCAGTCATATTCTTTACCGATCGGTGAAAATACAATGCTCTGACCCACTTGTACGTAATTGGAGGCATTTTTTTTATGCTTTCCCTCATTTTATATAATATAGTATCTTATCAGTACGTCAATTGTTTGATAATATTGACGTATAAGAGGACATGTGTCCAAAACTACCACGCTATTGAGATAACGATGTTGACGTTGAAATATATAGAGAATTTGTTCTTTACATAAATATTAAATAAGATTATGTTAAACAAAATATTACACGAACTGAACGTAACTAAAATATAAATAAATAAATTCAGATATAAATAGCATGTTGCTTTGTATGACTTTTGATCTATTTTGCTGTTTATATATATGTATATCTTCTATCTTCTATATATATAAAAATGGATTGCTGTTCCTTAGTCTCGTTAAAACTCGAGAACAGCTGAACGGATTTATCTTATCTTAGTCTTGAAATGTTCGTGGAGGTTCAGGGAAGGTATAAAAGCCGGAAAAAATTGATTCATTACTGGGAAAACCATAAAAACAGCCCTTTTCTATTTCCCATACAAACGTTTTTTTTGACATTAGATTTGACAGGTAAACTCCAAAAATATAAATAAAAAAACGTAACAGATATTTCTTGATTATAGGGCGATACGAAGTTCGCCAGGTCTTCTAGTACATAATATATATTTTATATATATGTATATATGTATATATATTTTATCAGACCACAATCTTGTATCTTAATCTCAGCGAGGATAATCCTCTAGGACTGTTTATACAGTAATCTTAGTACTTTGATAAAAGCTGATATCTTTTTTTTAAGTAAAAGATATTCTTTTTATATTCACACATACAATATATTTATGGCACTATATTAGGATCATATTATTAATAGATGTTACGTATCTGAGATGAGATTTATAAAATATATTTTCGTGTTAACACAATTGTCGAATGTATTTTTTCATTTTATTAAAGACGTCGCGATGCCGAGTTGTTTATGAATTTAGTTCAATAGAAGTGATTTTTTATTATTCCGTATAGTGATTGTAATAATAGGCAGACCCTGGTTAAAGCTGGGAATTGCCAGGCAGAAGAGTGATTGTAATAATATGAAGAAAGATAAATCAAGGTTCGTAAATATATTGGTGCGTAGATTTAGAATTTTATCGCGTGATTTTATACAGTTAAGCCAAAAGGGAATTAATAAAAAATATCAGAGTATATTTTGGGGTAATATATGTATAAGTGTAAATGTCGTTGGCCGGCTACAATGTAACATTCATATGAGCTAAAAAAATTCATTTTATTGAAGTTGTGTAAGTTTAAATTTACCTTGTAACAATTTAAATTGTATTGACAATTACTGTGTATGTATAAATTTTGTAAATATTACGGCTATTTATAATATCGGATTAAAATTATTTAATTATTGGTTTAATTAATGCTTCAGTCAAAGTTAAATATTTAAAACTAGATATAAAAATAAAGTATCAATTTGAATATTACAATTTTTTAGCTCCATTAAATAAAGTAGTGATAGGCTATTGTTCTATTTTTTATTATTATTTTTCTGATTACACAGATGTTGTTTTAAAGTACAACTTTGTGTTCTCATTAACAAGAAGAGCGTACTTTGTTTGACAGAAGTTATTTATGTTGAATTTAAATATTGTCATTTCATGTTAGTCACTTCTTATGAATTTGCAAGAAAAAGTAGCAATTTTATGGATCAACGACACATAAAATTGTGATTTAAAGATCGTATGGTTACATTAAAACTTGATCTTAAAAGATTGACGATCGTCCTCTATAATTTTATTTGCTAAATTAGGTTGAGAGAGTTTACAAAGTAAAACCTTATCTTCTAATACATAAGGTTCACAATACCTGGAGATAAAGACAACACTGATTTACCAAATATCAATATTACTTAAAAAGGAGTAAACAGGTCAATATAAAAACCTCCCAGCATATAAGAAAAGGGGAAGGTTATTTATAATTGTCTTGAATTACGAGGAAGTTAAAAAAAAAAACAATATTTTGGGCTAATATCATGTAGTACGCAGTAAGAAGGAAGATCATAATTATTTAGCGGGTACTCTGTGTCAATTGATATACAATTGGCACAATAACATATAGCACAAGCAGAACAGACGTTTATACGTATCAATTACACGCTAATAGGCAAAACACGAACTAAAGTCTCCGTCGTACGGGCATCAATCACACCGTCATTCGAAGGTTGCCACTACACAGGTCGGCTTGAAGTCGATAGTTTTTTTTTTACACATCGTGTATGTGTGAACGCGGCCTAGTTTTGATAAAGGTTTGTTACACTTGCATCCTGGAGTAGGCTCGAGAACCGGTCCCAACTTGTGTGACATGTTCGTAACTCTGATACGTATTTCTTTCGTACCATATATATACTTTTAATTCTGTTAAATGAACTAAAATCACTCGTCTGACTTGTTGTATATATAAGCCATGAAATATATATATTGATATGATTATAAGTCTGAATAAACTACTATCCTTTATCTCTGACCTTTAACGTAAGGTGCGCAGGCGTCGGTGATCTAAGATTTTGGATCGTATTGCGTTATGCATTTCGGAATTGTTTAAAAATAGCTTATTTAACGTAATACGATCTGGACATAGTTAGGTATAGGTTGCAAAAAAATCGACAAAGCCGTATAGAATTAAACTCGTATTTATGAGGTCGAAAGTGGGTCATGAACGTCTTAATATCAAATGCATTCAGTCACTATAATATACTAAAAGGGTAGAGCGCAGTTACTTTCGTATGACGGTACATTGTTCGAGATTTGTATAATAATAACAAAAATATGATGGTGTCTTACAGACGACGGATGCAGCAGCTGAAGCTTTGGCAGCAGAGGGAGAAGGAATGGGCGAGGACGCGAACGAAACGAGAGAAAAGTAACAAACGTAACATATACTTCAATGATAGTGTTATGCTACTTGAAGCGGCTGCCAGGAATGACATTGATGAAGGTAAAACAATTCATTTCTACTACCATATTCTTCATACATTTTAACTTAGTAAAAATTAAAAGTAATATAGTATGTTGTGTGGAAATAATTGTCTATAATATCAGTACAAATGCGACTAAGCCGTAATTATAAGCTTGGTGTACACTAGCGTGCGTGCAAATTAATGGTGACTGAAAGGTAATAGCAGCCCGATCTCAGTTACACTATTTTACTGGTAACGCATTTCGTAAAGTCATTGAACTGCTATTTATTTAATATCGGCCTTATTTAAATTACTGTGAAACACGTTAATACATTTTACGAAATTTTAACACAATGTAATATAGTAATTTTTTATGTGAGATTAAATGTTACGTAAAAGACAGCAATTTTAGTAAAAATGATCAAAAGTTTTTATCCTATGTATAAGTCACAAGAGATTTTCAATCATCATGTACATATATTACTTGTTTTGTTTAAAAATATTCATACATACGTAAAATTGTGACGTAAAATATTCATATTAAGGAGTCTTTATTAGCATCTACATATGATTACATTCATTACAAAACATACTAGTAATATTTACTTTATTATGTTTATTTAGAAAACTAGCTTTCCGCCCGCAGCTTCGCCCGCGTGGAGTTCGGTTATGTCGCGTTTCCAAGAGAACCTTTCAAAAGTCTGGGAGAAAGACTATCCTATGTTCTTTCTCAAGGTCAACTCTATCTCTGTACCAAATTTCATTAAAATCAGTTCAGTGGTTTAGGCGTGAAAGAATAACAGACAGACAGACAGAGTTACTTTCTCATTTATAATATTAGTAGGGATGACAAATAAAGTTACATGTCAAGAGATAATATTTATCTCTTAAGATGTATATTTAAAAATAAAAACATTTTATTTTAAATTTCCTGTTCGTGAAGTCATTTACAATGATGTCATAACTCATTTATATTTTCATATAGAACATTCACAATTAAACTCAATAGCTACGTAATTCTTAAGATTATTTAAAGCTTAGCTTTGTATACACGACCGTCTTTAACACTTGGATGTATGAAACAAATATTTTGTCACTATAGGAATAATTGTATTAATTCCAGTTCGACGATTGCTCGCTCGTGGTGTGACACCGGACGCGACGAATGAGGATGGTTTGACAGCCCTGCATCAGTGTTGTATTGACAACAATGAAGCCATGATGAGGTTGTTATTAGACCATGGGGCGAATGTGAATGCTGAAGACAGTGAGAAATGGACACCCCTACACGCAGCGGCAACCTGCGGCAACCTCAACCTGGTCAGGATATTAATACAGTGTGGCGCGAACCTCCTAGCAGTGAACGGTGATGGAAATATGCCCTACGATATATGCGAGGAAGAGAGAACCCTGGATGCTATAGAAAGCGAAATGGCAGCCAGGGGTGTCACGCAAAGACTGATCGATGAAACCAGGGCTGCCACTGAGATGCAAATGCTGATGGATGTGGCCGATATGGTGAAGAAGGGAATGGATTTGGATGAGCCTAGGGACAATCAGGGCGCTACCTTGGTGAGTTCAATATATGGCTTACTAGCTTTCTGCCCGCAGCTTCGCCCGCGTGGAGTTCGGTTATATCGCGTTTCCAAGAGAACCTTTCAAAAGTTTGGGATAAAAAACTATTATATGTTCTTTCTCAAGGTCAACTCTATATCTGCACCAAATTTCATTAAAATTAGTTCAGTGGTTTAAGCGTCCAAGAGAACCTTTCAAAAGTCTGGGACAAAAAACTATCCTGTTCTTTCTCAAGGTCAACTCTATATCTGCACCAAATTTTATTAAAATCAGTTCAGTGGTTTAGGCGTGAAAGCGTAACAGACAGACAGAGTTACTTTCGAATTTATAATATCAGTAGGGATAACTGGAAAACAATCCCTATATGCCAAAATTCTATATTATCTGTCCCCAACAGTATTTCCAGGCTAGATTTCATAAAAATCAACGTAGTTCTAAAATATAAAGCCAACAAATTAAAAGTACTACAAAATGACACTATACACCATACACGAACGAAATTCCTATAGTATTCTATAGCACATGCAATAAGGACAGTAAATAAACAAGAGGTTTCAAACGCTCTCGTTATTATAATTGGTGCAGTCATTCTGTAACAAGATAATTTATTTGCGTGAAACATTGGCTGTTTGGCGAGTTTCAGACATTTACAACTGTAGCTAAAGATCTCTATACTGTTTATAAATATAGCTCAAACATATTTTATAAAATATATTATAGTTTTATTTACAATAATATATGGAAATTATAGAAATAAAATGTCTCTAAGTAAATCATAAAGAAATATTATAAATGACTAGCTTCGCCGCGTGGAGTTCGGTTATATCGCGTTTCCAAGAGAACCTTTCAAAAGTCTGGGATAAAAACTATCCTATGTTCTTTCTCAAGGTCAACTCTATCTCTGTACCGAATTTCATTAAAATCAGTTCAGTGGTTTAGGCGTGAAAGCGTAGCAGACAGACAGACAGACAGAGTTACTTTCGCATTTATAATATTAGTAGGGATAAACATTAGTTATAGGGAAGAAATCATCTTAAAAAGGTTTTGTGAATAAACAAAAAAATATTTTTCTTTCGCATAATATCTTAATAAGAGCTGGCAACACATTGAAATGTAGCGTAGTATTATACGCACACAAACAGAACTATATCCGTCTCTCTCACGCGTACGTTATTAGTATGGAAAAGAGATAGGTATTGTTTTTATTTAGGTATTTCTTACATATACAGTCTATTTTATTTGTATACTAAATTTATTTTAAAATTTACTTCACTTGTATTAAAAGCTTAGAATTGGATCTTTTACGGAATTGTTTTCAAGGATTTAGGTTTTTTTTTAAATATATTTGATAGCAAATGAATATTTTTTTAATAATTTTGTAACATACAAAAGTCAAAACAGACGCAAAGTCCTGCAAAATAATTTTCTGAACGAGTTTGCTAGTTTTTGGATATAGAACACAAATTTAGGTATTTTTGTAAGAAGAAAGGCTATTAAAAGGAATTTGTATATAATTTGTTTTTGCGTATCTCGTATAATCATTTCACCTTTATTACATATTTCATTAATTTCATCTGTTATATAAATTCAGATTGCTTGATGAAAAATGCTCAATAATTTTTCATACTAACGACATCAAACTATATAATGTCGTTCGTCCGTAAGCAACCTTATTTTAATATACAGTACTAATACAAGCTTTTTTCCAGTTGCACATAGCGTCAGCGAACGGTTACCTCAAAGTGGTTGAGTTTCTGTTGGAGCATCGCGCCTCAACGGATGTAGTGGATCACGATATGTGGCAGCCGGTACACGCGGCCGCATGCTGGGGACATGTGAGTATAGTGGACATATAAACACACACACACACACACGCGCGCACGCGCGCACGCACGCTCTAACTACCTGACAGTTTCCCAGCTTTAGCCAGGGTCTGCCTTACATGTTGTGAATACTTTCGGCTAATTGTTTTTACGACCGGACGCTTGCCTGACATCAACTCTCTTTGGGAATCTTTGTTAAACATAATTTGTTTGCATACAAAAAACATTTTTTTTGGTGTCGGGTTGGAAATACTACAAAAACCACTTGTGTAGTCTTTATTGACTACTTACCTTTATGGAATTTACTTAAATTTGATGTATTTGTCGTTTTCGATTATGTATAGTTATGGTTGTTTTTTTCATCTTAGAAAATGTAAAAATAGTGTTAAGTTACAAAGCGACTAGTTCCTTACAGATTTATATTTGTCACTAGTTGTATTATTTTCATTGTTTTGTATTTTGTTTCAGTTGGAAGTGTTGGAGCTTTTAGTACAATACGGAGCTGATCTTAACGTGAGGAACAAACACGATGAAACACCAGCAGGTATGAAAAATATATGGAAGGTTTCTTCAGTTATATATTTAGTTAAATGATATAAAATAATGTAGATGTAAAAAGAGTTTTCGTCTAATCGTTAATAGTTTTAGGCATGTAGGAAGTAAAAACTTTACCCTTTACATAACTGTGCATTATCAATCTATATACAACTAGTTGCTAGTTCATTCATAATTCTTCTAGTATGGTAGTATCAATATAAATATATGAATGTAAAAATTTTAATTTTCTGTATATAGTTTAATGAAACATATTTGTAGTAATTAATTAAACACGTTCTGAGGTTACTCAAAGACTGACTTTTACTTTCTTAATACATAAATAATAGACAAACAGAAGGAAATTGTAAAGAACCGACAATAAATGGAGCCACGTATCAAAAATATTATTTTGATAATTCTTTTAACATTAATGAGCTCATAATTATCAGTCTTTCCAATTTAAATATAACCGTTCATAAACTGCGATAAATCTTATAATGCGCATAATAATACAGTACTAATCTTTTGCATGGCATCTGTTTATATTATATACTAGCTGACCCCGCAAACGTTGTTTTGCCCTATAAGGAGGAAGGGTTGGTGATAAAAAGTAATAATTTAGGGTTATCTTCTTCTTCCTGGCAATTTCCCAGCTTAAGCCAGGGTCTGCCAGGGTTTATATGTATTTTTAATTCCATATTATAGAAAAATAAAAATAAAACATTTTGTCCTAAAAAAAATTAGGGTAAACAACCCCTTTCATACCCCTAAGTCATCCTTTGATACTCCTAAGTGATCCTTATCACTTAGGGGTATGAAAGTAAACAGTTGCCGATTCTCAGACGTACTTAATACGCATATAAAATTTAAAATTCGGTGAAGCAGTTTCGGAGGAGTACTGTAACTAACATTGTAACATATGTAGAAATTCTACATAATATTTACATATATTAGAGATATATTTAAGTCAGTGGTGGCCTAGTGGTTATCAGGTCCGCCTCTCATGCTCGAGGGCGCGGGTTCGATCCTGGCCCGGCAAGTACTAATGTGTTTTTTCCGAGTCATATGTACTTTCTAAGAGTATTTAGACATCACTGATTAATGATGATTCCCAAAAGAGGGATGATATCAGGCAGGCGGCCGGTCGTAAAAACAATTAGCCAAAACTATTCATAACATGTAAGGCAGACCCTGGCTAAAGCTGGGAAATTGCCAGGTAGAATAAGTAGAAGAAGATTAGAGATATATTAGAATTATATGTGATCAGATATCTGCGAGGAGGGTGAGATGAGGGCCCGCATCCTCCGGCTGGCCGTGGAGCAGGAGGAGGTGAGGCGGCGGGCGGCCAGCGTGGCCGGGGACAGGCTGCGGGCTGCCAGGAGGTCCTCCTCCACCGCCTCGGCTAGCAGGTCACATACTACAACTAGTACAACACTACACATACTACAACTAGTAGACAACACTATTAGCATTATCACAGTTATCAGTATTTAACTGTACAGCATAATCTTTAGTGTCCAAACGACATATATTACAAACTTAATATACCATTACGTATATATGTATATACGTTGGTAGCAAATTAGCTTTAACAGCAATCTAGTCATTTCTCCTTATCACATGTCTATTACTATTGTTATCACATTCATGGCTATCTTTTAACTGTACAGCATAATCATCAGTGTCATGTACCATACATAACAAACTTTTGTCTTAAAATAACAGTACATCCGCAAACGTACATTGCGATTTGCGGATGTCAATGAGGGACGGTGCTACCTCCATCAAGTAAGCCGCTGCTCGTTTGCCCCCTTATCCAGTAAAAACAAACGGACTGAGCTAAATAAAACCGTTTAAAAAAGATTATTGACACTATACACACACAATAAACACTTGTTTTTTTTCATACCAGACGCACCAAAGGCTTTTTGTAACATCTTACATACTTTGTTAATTTTTTTATGCATTTATACAAATTCAAATTTTTGACTGTCCAATTCTTCCATTCTTCAAACAAAAACATATATCACCGACGTCATAAAACACACCTTAGCGACTACCACGGAAAAAACAAACATTGACTGTAGCTAAAACTTTTATCACAGTTTAGGCATGTATGGTGACACAATCAAATAAAATGTTGACAATCGGACTTCATACCTTTGATATTTAAGAATTCCGGGTACTTTTTGAATATACCTCGTATACCAAGATAATTAGTAGCAAATTAGCTTTAAGTCTAGTCATATCTCTATTTTATATATGTTATAATCGTTCAGGGTTCGGTCCGTCCGTCGTACGTCTCTCCGTGAGAAGCAGTTAGCGGCCAAAGCAGATGCAAGAGGTGAAGCTCGACTTAGAGAGACCTTTGACAGTACGGGAGATGACGAATATCAGGTGAGGATAGACGGGTGCAAACATATGTATTAATAACATATACATCGTCAGAATTGTATATACTTTTTGGTATGTAAATAAGGGTAAAGAAATCGGTCTTTAAACAAAGTAAATACTGTAATTACTTGTAATAGAATGAATAGACCATTTCAGATCGTGAGTATATGTATTATGATTTCTTTTGTTTGGCTTTTCAAAATTTTGTCGGACAAGGGATTATACTTTGCATATTTTATTCATTTTTTTTTATTTTAACAGATGTAGAAATTTTGAATTCATAATAATTTTCTTTAAAAAAACGTTGTATAAATAACGTTAATCTTTCATTGACGATAGTGTGATTTATTTGGAAAGTATGTAAGTGATAAATAAAACACGCCTTTACCTATTTCATATATTGATAATACTGTTGACTGATATGAGAAATTCTATACTTGTATTACTATGAACTTGTTTTATTTCAATTTAAAAATAACTCACAAAAATCGTTTTTATTCCGAGTTTTTCTTTCAATGTAGAGTAGTGTTATAAATTACATTTACATCTGGATACTAACAGGCAAAAAGATATTTATATACGATTTATTGCATTTATATTACTACACTTTAAAACTATTGGTATAAGTTTAAACAAGATATCACATACTTCAATAAAACAATTAATTCAAGCTACATCGATTTTCTGCACTTGTGAAGATAGACCTTAAATGTCTTAAATTTATCTCATCTGCTCGTAGTAAATCTTGCATGTTATAAAACGAAAATGTTATAAGACGTCCGAATCTAACTCCTTAACTTAATCATAGAAAGTTTAAATAGTCGAAAATGATAATACTGGGGAAGTCGTTATTACAAGCAATAAATTTTGCTATTAGTTTTTCCGACACCTTGAAAACCCCAAATCTTCTCTCTAGATGTGGTTTAACATAGCTGTGGTAAAAATAGTTTATGCCAGTGTCTACCGATAGCGCAAATGCTGACAGGAGAGATTGCACTCTCATTTGAATTAATTCCCTTCAACAACTTAATATCTGTTGACAAAGCTCCCTCATGTGCACATTCTAATGTGATCAGGCTGAAATTTACAAGAAGTGCATGGGTTAATGCTCAAAATCGCCAAGCACTTAATGCTTATTACAAAAAGACAAAACATCTAATAACTCGAAAGGTATTCCAGCCATTTTGCTTGATAAAACGTGCACCTAAGTTAGCTCTTGCTTTGACAAAAATTTTCTCTTTACTGGTATATTTCCTAAACCTCAGAAGATTAGCAACCTTATCTTAATAGAAGTAGCCATACAGAGACTAATAATTAATTATCGATCGATTTTATATATTGTGGAAGGGATTCGAGATTGCGCGGCCGAGCCATCTCGTGAAGAGTGTACGAAACTATTAGTTATACGTTAACTAGAACATTCCAATTGTTAATTCTTTAAAACAATTAGAAGTATATATATAAATAAAAAAAATTCGGAATGTTCTAGTAATCGGATTATTGTGTACAAAAGGGTTGCTCGTTTAGGTTGGAGTTTGTCTTTCGATAAGCCACCTACAAGCGATATTATTTGCGATGCGAGTGCGGTCCGATCATATTCACTCATCAGAATGCATCCCTGGACACTGATAGTTTTCACTTATTAGTTATTGAATTATCCTTGATTGATCCTAAATTTTGGTTACTTCATGGAGTTTACTCTTTGCAAAAAAAAGCACGATCGTACTTCAGACTGGGACAGCTTATTTTAAAAAAATCACAGGTTGTGTGTGAAATTCTCTTGACACATTTGTGCATTCATTGCCAAAGAACTCCTTACTAAATTGGACTCCGCGAGACATGCAAAATGCCTTATTAGTTTAACCGATCTAGTCAACCTTGACCATAAGTGTAAAGTAGACCTCTGGTAGTGCGTTAAAGTACATAAGACCTAATTTAAACTTATCAATAAATAAAATGACGATCAAACAGTAACCGACAATTATTTTCTTTAAATGTTGAATTCGCTTAACATGTCGAAATGATAAATACATTTTTTTCTTCAATAATAATCCTAACTTGAACTTGGTAATTGTATATAATGTGAATTTGAAGATATAGTAAGATTTATATGTATTATGGAATGAAACTAATTAATAATACTAACGATATTTTAAATGTTCGCATGTATTCGTTTTTTTTATTATTTCACGACTACATAACCCCGATGTTTCAGTTCCTTTGCAGCAACTTTAATCACGGGCAGACGGGATAAAAAATCGTAGGTTAGTCTTAAAACGATTATTAATATCCGAAAACCTTAGTTTTTATTTTTATACTAAATACTCTCGTGATACGAATGTTATTTTTCATATAACTTATCAGAGTATAGTTAACTCAACACCAACAGTTTGGACGTCTTCCATTCGTAAAACGTCAGTGGTGGGACAATTTACGATGGTTTGTGAATGAACAACGTTGGAACTTATGCATATCGTGTAGGGTAGTACGAGAATTCTCAACTGTAAACTCTAAACTTACAGTTATATAGTTTTGACGACGTTATGAATACTCGTTAGAACTATTCTTCTTCTACCTGGCAATTTCCCAGCTATAGCCAGGGTCTGCTTTACATGTTGTGAATAGTTTTGGCTATTTGTTTTTACGACCGGCCGCCTGTCTGACGTCAACCCTCTTTGGGAATAGAATCGTTAGAACTATTTATTATTTAACACAATTTATACTCAATCTAAATTCTTCTCAATTCTTTTTTCTTTGAAAGAAATGAAAAACTATGAAACTGACGGTGTTTAAGTGTGAACTAGTTGTGATAACTCGTTGATAGACGATGCGTGAACAAGAATCGAGTCCATTGTAAATATAATTGGTTGAAAGCAACGATCCTAATTATAACAGTTATAATGTTTTTCTACAATACTTTTTACTATTAAATATTTTATAAGTAAAAAAAATATATATTTAATACATATTAAATTCTTTTCTAATATACATGTTTAATATAATTCCTACTATTATAGAAATAAATAGTAAGAAATATTTATGACCATATGTAACTGGTAACACTGAGTTATTTATGATGTCGGCCGTTTTTTCAACCGCACTTTCTACTTTCAATGCGATATACTAATAAAATTACTACTGTAATTAATTTCAGCCATAACATGTTTAGATACTTCATAAGAGAAATATTCGAAGTAATTTACAGTTATAAATTATATACATACATAGTTTGAATCAAATCAATTTTTTTTCTTATAATTTGTTTTTGTAAATGTGTGTATTATATTCAGCCAATGTCAAATAGAGGGCAGTAAAGAGTTTTTATAATATTTTTTTTATCATAAGATTTAACTTCTAAAGATTATTATACATATATAGCAGTGATTGGGAGCAAATGTTTTATCCTTGACACGCTCGTGTACTAGCAACAGTTGGGTATTTGTTTGTTAAATTAGAACGACTTAAAGACCAACCTATTCAGGTGTGGCATACTTAATGTATGTTGTTAATATAATACATTTTTATTCTATTTAAAATGATTTTTAAATTAAATAAATAATGAGACGCGAATTTACTTGAAGTTAAACGTATCTCATTCGTATTTAGAAGAATTTTTAACAGCAATGTATTTTGTTTCATGAACCGTAGCAAATTTCCGATCGTATATAATTATGGATGTATTTATATTCAGAGCTAAAAATAACGTAACATTTTTATATACTGTATAAAAAACAGTTTTGTAGTTTTTGTGTAATAGAACAGACATACAAGACTCACATTAGGATGATTCCATCGTGTCAAACATCGGTGCATCAATTTCCATTACTGCTCATAGTTTTCCAACGATTTCCCCAACTATTGGTTTATTCGCGTGATACATTCAGTTGGTCGACGCTGGCCTTACATTAAACACTCACAGATAATGCATTACGACGTACGATAAACAATTGTTGCAGATTTTAAGATACAGTGATGTGTTTTATATAAAAAAGTTACAAAAATGTCTCTGGATATTATGTTTCTGACTAACGATAATTTGCATCGCGTTAGGAAGGAGCCGCAGGTTTTGGGGCTGCGATATAGGGTATGTTTGGAATTTTGTTGATTTTAAGACTTCTTTGGTCGCAATTACGTTGAAAATAATACCTATTTATGTTATATTCATTGTATTTATAATGAAATTATGCTCTGATATATTCTCGCTTGTGTGTCACATATTTGTAATGTCTTGTAGATTTACGAAAGTAAAGAGGTTTAAAAAAAAATTACAATCAGGGTAAACTATCATCAAATATATTGTGATTTTGTACGAAATTAATGTTGTATGAAAAATAGAACTGTTATTTATTCATCACAATAACTAAGGTGTAACAAAAAGTACAATAGAATATTAAGTAAATTTTAATTCTTTACATTATACATCACATGTTTCGTGTTGTAAAATATATTTTTAACCGCAACGAGTGTCCAATTTCATACGAACTCATAATGCGAACGTAAAATGCGTGTTTCTGTATGAATAATATTGGTTGCGCTTTAATCTAGGAATTTGATCTAGGAATACATTTACCTTTATTAATAATACAAACAAAAGATACTTGGAATAATTAAAACATTTAATTATAATAATTTAGAAATGCAGTTTTTAAGTATATTTTTTTAATTTTAGCTTGATATTTATGTAAGAAAACCAATTTTCAGTTTTCTATTTGCACTATGTTTTTAATTCGACTATTTGTTATATAATATAACTAGCTTGTGCCGCGACCCCGTCCGCGTGGAATAGTGACTTCCGGCAGATTTTTGGTTCTTCCCACATAATTCTCGTTCTTGCCGGGTTTTCGGAATGGTCGAGTTCCCGTAGAATTTTCATAATAAAACCTATGTTTTTTTTAAATTCACAATGAAGTACTCTTTTTTTTTGTGCGCACTGGGAAAAAATGCTTTACGCATCCTCTCTCCGTCGGGGGACGGAGAGGGGTATGTGGGACTCCCCGGGAAAGGATTCCCGGTATACCCACTAAAATAACCCAGTGGCGCTCCGACCTCGCCTGACTAGCAGGGGGCTGGGAATCCTGTTTACATCCAGCCCCAAGTACTCTTAACCAACAACATACTTATTTGTTTATTTGAATAAAGATTAATATTATTATGTTGATACAACTTAAACAAATTATTTCGACCAAATTAGGTACCATAAAAACGGTTTTTGTGAGTTAATCTTAAAAGATAGACATATACTGTCGCAGACTATTTTTTAGATCATTAAAAGAGCTATTATTCTTTAATACATATTTTTTGTGTATCTTGAACCGTTTTCACGGCGCACGCAACGGAAGGCTTCAAAGATGAAATAATTTCTCCCGCTTTTTACACATTTACCACTATATCTTTGCTCCTATTGGTCGTAGCGTGATATTATATAGCTCAAAGCCTTCCTCGATAACTGGACTATCCAACACAAAAAGAATTATTCAATTCGAACCAGTAGTTTCGGAGATTAGCGCTTTCAAACAAACAAACAAACAAACAAACTCTTCAGCTTTATAATATTAGTATAGATACTGTTTTTTTATCTTGTTTTCATAAATATTGAACATGATATAATTTATGTTTTAATATGTTATGTATTAAAATTTAGTTGAGTTTTTTTAATACGTTTTTGTAATTATCATGTAAAAGATTGTCAGATTTCAAGGCGGCAAATAATATTTTGGCTATTAACTCCATAATATGCAAAAATAAATCCATGTTATTCTAATGAAAAGAAAATTCAAAACTGTAAAAAATTCAAAACTGTACTAGTTATAAGTTAATGTAAGTTTATATTAATTACAGGGTCTCACAAATGGAGTGGAAAACGATCAGAACACAGCGAATATACCAGCTGACTTATCAAACACGAGGCTATCAATCAGTTCAACGACCTCCAACCAGAGTTACGACTCGGGAAACGTTGACTACGTACCGAAACACAACTACCCTAAACACAGAAGCGACACAGATTCAAACGACAACATTACTTACAACCAACCCAAGATAACGAACCCTCTGTTCGGTGTGAATGCAGCCACTAATTACTCACCCGGTCCGCTACACGAAGATAAAGAGAAATTACCGAACGGTGTAAGAAAGGCACCAGAAGGTCAAGATAATGAGGCATTCAAAACAGAGGACGTTTTAGATGGTAGGAAAGAAATGTTGGCCGAACAGATATCTATAGCGGACGGTGGAACAGCGACCTACACTACGGACAATAATGGTAAAATCAATGTTCATGTCACCGTCATGATTAACGCAGGTAATTATATGCATCCATACGAAAATATATGCACAATAACATACATTAAGAAACGGGATCTTTAACATTGTAAAGTTCTAACAGTTTTTTGCACAGTCGGATGGGACATGGAATATCAAGGATGCATATGAGGCAAGACGTCTCCTGTAGTGCATGTTTAATGTTATATGTTTATGCTTAGCACTTATATATATGCTCATATGTTATGTCTATATTGCTTTATTTAACCGACTTTACAAAGGTTTGATTTAACTATTTTTTCTTTCAAATCATATGTACATTTTTTTCATAATGGACACATTATTTTGTTTTTCAAAGAAATGAGAGGTAATTTTAAATTGGAGTCGCTTATAATTATGAGTCACAGTGGTTAGTTTATCTAGCAGTCATCTAGTTACATCACGTTGTATTCGAAATCGCATCTTGTGTAAATGAGTTGTTTAAGTAAATGTGCGTGAAAGTAACGACGTAATTAAGAAATATCACATTCCATCATACGCTTGTCTTAGACTTACGTTCTATTGATTAATATTCTCTGTCTAACATGTGCTTTATTTAGTTTTATTTTAATATTATGTGAAATAAAACTGATATTTTTCGGATTTACTACGCTTTTATAATTACTTTTAACAATATTGTCCTAAAGATTTGGTCACTTAGCAGCAACCGTGATCAAACAAACGAGATGTAATAAATCCGATAAATATTAGATTCATTTCAATTAATACTCTCGAAAATCTTAGACTTCATTAATATTATTTTTTCTATTCTTTAAAGGCACTGCAGATAAGAACATTTAGTTTTATTTCTCTTATCAATTAATTATATGTAACGTATATTTCAGGAACACTAGCCGATTTGAAGAAACAAAGGGCACAAATAAGAACCAATGGGAGTCCGGTAGAAAATAGCGCGAACTCAACAGCCAATCACAGTCTGAATTCTATAACGGAAACAAAGAACGACCAAATACAGATACAGGAAGCAGCGCCATCTATAACCGTGCCCAGGTTCTCTGGCAACACTAGTGATGTGGTCGGTGATAGTAAATCGCGAAGATGCTGCATCATAATGTAAAGGCACATCACTATTAACATAAAGGTCTAAATCATCCAAAAAATATACGATCTAGTTATTGATGTAGGACGACATATTTGTGTTCGGATCATAAGTACAAAATGTGTGTGCTCGTTTTACCAAATGTATCATATTATTATTATTTTGGTAAACTAAGAGATATTTATTGAAATTTAACAATTTTAACCCCAAATATGACGTATAACACAGAAAGGTTGTTGCCATCTGCTCACAGAAGGCCTTGCCAATTATAGAACTGACATATACAGTACATAAAGCTCAATCGATTATACGATTTATTATTAACAAAATTAGCTCTTTTTTAAATTATTTTAATATAACATTCCGTACAATTTACATAAACATAAAATTTTGAAATACATTCCCAGTCCTTTTAATTTATTTATTAATATTAATTTAATTTCTAATATCTATTGAATTGTCAATTTTCTTTGTTAATATTATTTCGTTCTGTAAATAATTAATTCTCTTGATATATTTAATCATTTTATTTTTCACTTATCATAATAGATAAGTTAAAATCATTTGTAATTTGAACATTTTTATATTTTAGAAAAATTAACAACATTGTGATATGTGAAATAATTGTATGTAACAACTGCCACTTAATTTTTGTTATTTCAGTTTTATATTTCAATGTTGCCTTATACAAACTCGTATTGAGTACAATCATAGATAATATTTATACGACGGAATTGTAAGACTGGATTTATTTGCTTAGTTATTTCATAAAAATCACATATTTCAATATCATAATAATCATTTTAATGCAGATTATTTCATACTATATTTGATTTAACATATACATATAGCATTTATAAAGACAGCTGTATGTTGATGAAGTGAGGGGGCCATGCATTCCGATGGTTTGCTATAAATCCATGTGTTACAATAATACACCACACAAAAAATCCATTTAAAAAAACTTCTAGATGTTTCTAGAATATTCTAGAAGATTCCATGTATTGATTGTAATACTAGGATATTAATTGTGCCTTTAATTTAAATTTGTCTTATCGCTGTTAAATATTATTAATGGTAGCGTTCTATTGTGTATATCTTGATGATCCCGCTTTCATCTATATATGTGATCTAACCGCGAGTTGTGGTTTTAAAAAATGTATACAGAAATATTATTGAAGTTTTTTCACTGATTTTATTGTATTAAAGTTGTTAGAAAGACAATGTTCGAACGTAACTTTATATTTCTTAGCTAATACTCTTTTGTGCCAATTCTCTTGCAGCTACTTACTAGCTTAATGTTCAATTGATTTTTATATTTATATTAATTGAGATAGAATCCAAAATCCAGTGTTCATAATGGTGATATCGCTAAGGGCAGCTAACATTCCATAGTTTAACATTTTATATTGTAAATATATTTATGTAGGAGTCATTAGTTCCAATCCATTTGTAATTCTTACGTCCATATCATTAGTCATTAGTGTAGTAGAGCTGGGTAGTGTAGTGTCCCCGTACTTAAAAAGTACTTATGCGTGTGAATTGTTGTGTCGCAAACAAAATATTATTAAAAAAAAATGTGTATAAAATGAATTTATAAAGGAACAAGCGAAGCAATACAATGGCCTTATAGTTGAATAAGCACAAACTGATTTATTTTTTAAACATTATATATATTTTTTTATTATTTTATTTCCACAGTATTATATAAGCATTTTACAGATTGAATTTTGTGATAGAAGTTATTCAGAAATTTATCAGAAATTGTATATTTTAGAACTAAGTTTAATTTCATTGGAAATGTTTGAAATTGTCAGAATATATCATGAGGGATTTTAAAATATCTCAATATTTAAAGAACACAATTTTATTAGAGACTTACATATCATTATAATTGAAATATTAAATAATTTATTAGATATATATCTATAATACAGTAAATATAATGTTTTATATTTCACACTGATGTAATTTGATATATTATGTAAAGTAGAAAGTATCCTACACAGTGCCTCTTCTTTTCTTGCCTTAAATATTCCTATAGAAAAAAATATTTTGGTGATAAATTCAATATATTTGATAAATTGTTTATATTTAAAAAAAATATACGTAATTAGACACTATTGTTGTAAACATTCCTAAAAAAATGTGTAATATTTTTTTTTTGGCTTGCCATTTAAATTCTTGCCGGCAAAGGTTTTAATAATGGCAACACAGTCACCCTTAACTGTTCCTACCGCAATGGCTATTTAACGCACATTCACAAAAATACGAGAAATACATGAAAAATGCTATAATGAGAAGAAATAAATTATATATTAAACAAGAATAATAAAATTGTGATTAAAATATGTTTTCCGTATGATTGTATTGTTATTTAATAACCGCTGTTTAAATGTTTAAATTATATGAATGCAAAAATCTGTTGTATGTATATTAGAGAAAAAGAATTTGTTATTTATATCTCCTTATCTACTTTTAAACAGTGGTGTTTTATTAGAATTCCTAATTTTCTTATGATTGTATGAATAAATCGATTGTTTAAATTATTATGAATTTTATTTGTAATCTTTAAAATAATATCGATTCAAGGGTAAGTAACAGTTTCTAACAAGGAAGGTATACTCATAGTTTTTTCCCATGGTCTACTTACCTAATTTAAGTATATTTTCACAAACCGTTAGTGACATGAATACTTTAAAGCTTCATAGTAAAAAAATAATATTATATGTTAAAATCCTTATTTGAATTCTAAAGATGAGAATATTGGGTTCTGTATAGGTTCTCTCACTTCCTATATTTTAATAGAATTGCTTTAGGAACTAATAGAAAAATAACTTTTTAGCACACTTATTTCATTTTAATTATTTTCACTATTACCCTCGAGCACTTGTAAAATCTCAGTTGAAAAGTTTTACACAAGTAAGGCATGCTACATAACGGAGACTAGAAGAAACAATGTACATAACAAAACAATGATTTATCATAAAAAATATAGGAAACTGTTTCCGATTAAGTTTAGTTCGTTGATATTAAAACTAGTTCGGATGAACTAACTGTTAACGCAAGTCGATAGCAGATTGCATCATTATCTCACCTGCCAATAATGATATGTGTTGAGTGAAATGACGTGCGAAGATGAAGTAGCAGGCGAACATGATTTGATAGTTTAGTTTTATTTAACCATCGCAAACTTTTACCATGGCTGAATTATATAGCAATGAAATAAGTTCTCTTAAACACAGAAAATAAAGCGGGAAAAGAGCCAAAATAATCACTTATAACATTTAGATGATATATGTAAATAAAGTCACAATTATCATTAATTAATAAACGTATATATTATATAAAAGCGTGTAAATATTATTTTCATTTACAATGAAGATCTATATAACCCTAGAAAAAGTTTCTAATAAATTACAAAGCATTTAAAACTTATCTTGACAGCACTTTTTGAATTTTAAATGTCAATGTTTTCGTTAGAGATACCCTTGATTGTAGCGGTGTGAAGTTGCATGTTGTGAACTGTATTGCGGCATTGACACTATAATCTATATCTAAATTCATTCAGTGCCCAGTGTTCGCCTGACCGCTATTTGAGTAAGACGTGTCACGGCTCCACTCTTCAACCGCTCTAACCACGCGGGGAATAAATATAAATTTCTGCGCTGTATTTTAATTCGAAATAACCCTGACTTCCTCGTGTATGCTGAGACTTATAAGAAAATTTTGCACCATGAAACCACCGACAAATGTAAGTTGTTTCGACCTTATACATTTTGATTGTCATTCCAATAGTTGCCGAAAAGGAAACATTTTTAAAAAACAATTTATTGAAATTATAGTAACAGCAAAATAATTTATAAACTTGTTTTGCCAAAAAAGTATAAAATTAAAATATGTATATTGTCAGTAATTTAATTGTTTGCAAAAATTATTGTACTAAAACTAATGTTTTAATATTGTTGTATATGTAGATAGTGTTTGAAAGTCTTTTTAAGTTTATATAAGAATTATTTATTACTTTGATAAATAATTCGAGATCTCTTGATGGACATGGAAGATTTTGCGTGAGAAAGTAGAACAATAAACCCGTCTTCTGTCGCTCTTAATTACCAGAAACTTTCATTGTCACATATCCTAGATATTTTTTCTACATTTTTATTAATATATCTTTAAATAACGCTTTTTATTTAGTTATATCCTGGTTCTAGTTAATACTAAAAAATACACAATTAGATGTTAACTTGAAATTTGTTAAAATTCTATTTACCTAAAAAACTATTTTATACATTGTACAACATTTCATCATATGGGCATTCATCATAATTATGGGCATCATAGTCATACAATAGGGTTACAAAATTTGTTATTTTGATGAAAAAATAATTTAAACTTGATTAATTGTTTCATTATCATTAAATTAATTAATTTCTTCAAGAAACTCATTAATCTTTGTATACAACGATCGGTCGATTTTACGTTATTGTAAAATTGCGTTTTTTTCTACTCGTCGCGTCGTAGCAATTTTAAATCGAATGTGACATTTGTTAACCGTTGTAACAAAAGTCACGTTTCATCAATTGTCAACTCAAGGGAAGAGAACAATTTGGACGGACAGAAATAGATTGATCGTAAGAGAAGTACAATCAAAGATCATGAATTATTATGAACGGGACGAATTACGATGCATTTCTATTACAACTCATTATTATAAAACGCAGCCTTTTTTTCTCAATCACCGCCAATATGACGAAAAACACAAATAAAAATCATCCATATTTCTAAAACTTAGCTCATTTGACGTATGGTACGGAATATATTTAAATATAGATTTTAAAAATTAACTGACTCGTCACAACTTTATGTCAAACTTCCAAAAATATACACTGCGATAAAAACTAAGAAAAATATATCCACTTACAAACGTAGAAAATAAGAATAACATTTTCTTCAACAGAAGTATAGAGAACCATTTATAAACTTGTCATAAGAGGTTTTATTTATAAGAAGCGATTATTGTTTTTAACATTTGACATTACAAAAATAATAGATCGTTGTTTGTGTTACCCGCACACAAAAATAATAAACAATAGTTTTTATTGACCTTATAATAGGTTGGCTTATACGTACATCTTGTCATTAAAAATGTACTATTATAAATAAAGGTACAATAGAATCGGTGTTATAACTATCATTTATACTTCTTCGTACCTACTCATTCTCTCGTTTATATACTTTTGTTTATGTTAAAACTTAACCTTTTTTCAACAGGCAGCGCTTTTACATGATGTGGACATACCTACAAAGAAGGCTACATTCGGCATGGGTTGTTTTTGGTCTAACGACTCATTGTTCGGAGCAACACCAGGAATTATTCGCACAAGAGTGGGATACGCTGGTGGGACCACGAAAAATCCTCATTACAGAAATATGTAAGTACCTATCCTTTTAACTTCTTACAATGTTAGGAATCCTTTTTAATATGTTTAAGTATCATATACATATAAAAATAATTTTAAACACGTTATGTATCTTAGTGAGGATTTTGCTTGGTTTCAATGTTTAAGAATTCTCCAATCGTTCCGTGCAATAAATTATACCCAGGTATAATGCAGTTTTATTTGAATCTTTTAATTTTATTTTCTATACTAATCGATGTTTTATATTTTGTGTCTTAAAATCTATATAAAAATATCCATTCTTCATAAGGATTTATTGTAATATTTCGAGTAATTGGATGTGTCGCAGGATTTTATCAGTAATTTAAAATAATAACGAATGGCCGTGCATGCAATTATTCCCAGGCAATGAACTCCGAAATTGTATTCTTGGAACTGGTTCGTTATAAGAATTTTTGCGATGCGATAATAATACGCCTGTCCCAAAAGGGTCATTATTTAATACATTTGCTTTTAAATTAAAGCAATTTATGTCATATTTTTAACGTCTTTTCAAAAATTTATCGGGATCTAAGTGACCTTGACGTTTTCAAATCAATATAAGTCAAGGTTAAGATTAGTTTAATTCAATTGTTCTACACGTGTCGCTTTACAGGTGTATTGCAAAAAACAACATCATTTATTATCCAATAATAATCATTATCTAAGCATTACTCCGGGTACTGAGTAGTTTTAATACGAAGAATCGTTATAATTGATCCGATTATATGTATTAAATACTTACTTTTAATTGCATTGAATAAAATTTATATAAATACGAATTCCTTACCGCGACTTTGCCCGCGTGGATATCGATTACCGCAATAAAATTATCATCCTTTCAAATCCATACAAAAACTTTAATATTATGTTGTATAAATGTATTAGAAATATTTATTTACATTGTAATCTAATGTCATGTTCTTTGAGATATTTTAACCGTATCGTAAAGATTAATAATGATATCATTTCATTGTAAAACTCAAAGAAAGAATCTACGTAAATCAAGGCTATACAATGTGATGTTGTTAAAACAGATTATATAATAAAACGACTAGATATGGCTTACCATATACAAGCTAAATACAAATATTATTAATTTATGACTAAGAATCATTTATGCATACTTAAATTATCTATTTTTATTTTACATTAAACGATTGATAAGTACGGAAAAAAATCTCGATTTTATTTCTTTTTTTCAATCTAGCAACGATTCCCTTAATATCCGTGTGTGACGTAAAAACCTACAATTATAGAGAAGTATGGTTTGCATATTATAATACTCAAAAAATATGATTAACTATAAATTATTCCTTTAATGTCAACTCGTCGTGAAATTTTAAAATATTATGTACCTAATAAAAAAAGTTTTCTTTGTAAAATGTTAACGTATCAAATGTAACTAATTTTCTATAATAAGGAACTCTTTCTTTATAAAAAATATTTTGGCATAGTTATTTTTTCGTCAAGGTAGTCTAGTCCGATAATATGAACAAGGCCAAGGCCAGAGGCCGAACTGCCATTAGCGATACACGTTTTCATAGATTATCTTTTTTTTGATAACATTACTAGCAGATACATTGAAATTATTGTGTCTTTAATTAAAAAAAAATCAGTCATGTATAAAATTAAGTATTCTACAAATGGTAGTTTAATGTCTAGCATTATATACTTAATAGTTATTTATAATTGTATTGTATATTCACAGAGGAGACCACACAGAAGTTATAGAATTAGACTATGATCCGAAAACAGTGACCTTTGAAGAACTTCTCGATATATTTTGGGCGAACCACGAGTACGGACTCACGACTAAACTCAAGAGACAGGTACTTACTCGCTTTATACACATAAAAGTATTAAAACTAAATGGTAATAGATAACTAAACGTCAATCTTATATAATTTATTAATTATTTTTTTAAGACATTAATCGTTGATTTAAAATCATAGATAAGATTTTTCTATTGTGATGCGAAAATTTAAATTCAGCTCATATTGTATAGCTCCTAAAAATTTCGAGTATCTTCATTCAATATATTGTTGTTTATATTTTTATTAACTATAATATTAATGCGAAGGAATATGTATACAGGGTGACTGGTGAATTACTATCAATATTTAAGGAGCATACTCGGTACATGATTCTCATTCGAATTATGTAAAAAAAATAGGCACTTAATTTTTGACCAAATTTCCGTATAAATAAATAAAGTGTGTACACGTTCCAAGTTTTCCACGTGTGGACGCGTGCGGCGGCGTGCTGATACAACAACACGCCTCCGCGCGCGTATGTGTGAGTGTGTGTGTATACCTAATCTGTAGGGTGTTCACACGATGCGTAATTAATTACATAACTTTTGGGTAATTTTACTTAGAACTTTATTAATATTTATGTTATATTAATTTTTATTTTGTCATATATGATCGTCAAATATCACGTCCTCAAATATCGATAGTAATTCACCAGTCACCCTGTATATATGAGTATATATGTATGTAAATCTGTAGGAAGATCCAACACTTAGAAAATAGTATACATATACCTATATTTTCATTATAACATTATTTTCTCACACTATTTTATTTTAGATAATTTTAAAACACAAAATTTTTTCACCTGTCTTCATGTCTCTGTTATTTAGTCCGATTTTTGATTAAGCTTTCATAAAAAATATACGATTTTACCAAAATTAAAACTTTAAAAAAATGTTAACAGAGACATTAAATGAAGTAAAGTAAATTAAAAGATTAAAGAAGTAAAGTCGCGTCTCACATCTAGTATAGAACAAAATACAAGTGATTATCGACACGCTCCAACTAAATCCTCGCGTCATCTTAAGATAAAATACTATTGAACAATTAAGTACGTAAGCATTACAATGACTTAATTTTATTTACGCGACTATTATTATTTGCAATTCATTCAATTGTAGTGAAACATTAATCACGATCATAATATATTAATAAAAGTCACTTCTTAATTATTATCCATAGTTAATAATGTACAGAGTAAATTAATGTTTTTAAATATATTTCTATTTATGACAGCAAAATGGCGCCATGTGTATTTTTTCGACGCCATTAATGTGTCATCATATGTTATGACCGCCATTTTGAAAATAAATTAAAATATATACAGTTTTTGTTACCAATTTATTAGGAATTTAATATCTTTAGTCCCTCTCGTTATCTAAAAAGTCATAATCATAAAATAAATAAAATATTTCGGCCAACATTTAAAAAGTATAAAATAAGAGTTACTAAAGAAGAGCATAGTATTAATTATTGTAAACTAAGGATATCATCACGATAGTTTTATGAATTTCAGTACCAATCTATGATTCTGTACCACGATGAAGAACAGCGCCAAGTGGCTGAACAGTCTTACAAGAAGATGCAGGAGAGATGCAAGGAACCATTACGAACTGAGATCGCACCAGCAGACACCTTCTACGCAGCGGAGGAGTGAGTTATATCATTAAATAGAAGCTATCATTATCATTAATGATATCAAGTTAATAATCATCAGCTATAATAAGTTCAATGAATAATCGGAATTTAATTTTTATGTAAATAACCAAATGAAAGCGTTTATTTAGATAGCAATTTCGATAGTTAGAAATTAAAAGACGTCAATTAGTATTAAGAATTAGTATATTGAGCCCTCCAAAAAGTTTCACTTAGAAACGTTTATACTAAGTAAGTAGTCAAGTGACCCGGCAAACGTTGTTTGACATATAAAAATTAGGGGTCGGAGATTAAAAAAATAATTTTGGATTATATGTACCTATATTTTAATGCTACATTAAAAAAAATAAAAACAAAAAATTTCGTCCGAACATAAAAAATAAAAATTAAGGGTGAACAACCCTTACAACTTAGGAGTATGAAAAAAATGTTGGCTGATTCCCAAACCTACTCAAAATGCTCAAAAATTTTATCAAAATCGTTCCAGCCGTTTTTAAGGAGTTCTCTGTCTAACACCGCGACACGTGAATTTTATATATATATAGATAACTAGCTTTCCGCCCGCAGCTTCGCATACGTGGAGTTCGGTTACATCGCGTTTCCAAGAGAACCTTTCAAAAGTCCTGGATAAAAACTATCCTATGTTCTTTCTCCAGGTCAACTCTATATCCGTACCAAATTTCATTAAAATCAGTTCAGTGGTTCAGGCGTGAAAGCGTAACAGACAGACAGAGTTACTTTCGCACTTATAATATCAGTAGGGATAATTTAAAGCGACCTAGAACAGTAGACAAGTCGTATAAAGATCAAATGTATGCATGTATTGTTGGTATCAGTACTATTATGCCAGGGTCAATTTCAATTTAGTGTCATCTACTGACTGTAACCTCCATTTTGAATGTCATTGGTTTTCCTGTCCCATATATTTGATACTTTAAACGTTTGCTAAATGTTAAATATACTATAGTATGAAAAACATATTAATATAAATTGAGACTTAAAACTGTAATTGCTTAATGAGATCCAAGATTTTCGCGAGTATTCATTTAAATGAAACTAATATTTTTCGGATGTACTAATCAATCTCGTCTGCCCGTGATCACGGTTGCTGTAAAGTAGCCGAAACGTGGCAGTATGTAGTTTTTTATCAAAAATAAAATCGCGTTTGTAGTACATCCGAAAAATATTAGTTTCATTTGTAATTTGACCAAACAAAGTCTTGGCAAGGATGAAGTTGAATTAAATAATCTTAGGCTTGGTGATTTTTATTAATTGTTTCCCTTATAAATAAATAATAAGTTATGGAAAAATTAAGGAATAAAAAATGATGATAGTTTTTTTTTAAATAATTTTGCATATTATTTATGATATTATTACTTTAAGAAATGCAAATTGAAAACCTTATGAATTATGTAGGGTTATATTTCTCGCTTTTTTGACAGAAAATATAGTCGTTTTCCCTAATCTATCAGACGTTGAATGAAAATGTACCTTTTTCATTCTGTTTCAATTGAGATAATAATATGTTTAACTCTTTTCATTGTACACTCGATCGATACCGCAGCTACGCGCGGTGTTAGTTTACACAACCTTGACCTTTACAAGAACATTTATACGTTATTTTAAAAACCAATGCGGAATTAATATCTAATTTTACTTAAAAAAAATAAAGCAATTAGAAGCAATAGATAATAAAATATGTATCTGACAGATAATATAATGTGTTCAGTGTTGCCAAATTATGAATTTTTATTGAAACATCCTAGATTTCTTTTTTGCCTAGTTAATTTAGTTAATATATTCTTATAAGCCTTTTTATCACAGCCTAGTAAAAAAACATAGTGTTATGACTAGAAACGTTAACGCATCGTTCAGACAAAATATTTTCTGTTGTATCTATCTTAATATAAAGAATTTAAAATCAATATACATATACATACATATAATGTGTAATTCATACTCAAAATTATTTCGTCCCTTTTGTTCGTGTGTGAATTTTTCAGTTAATATTATTCAAAGAAATTCACTTAAATATAACTGAAATATTTCCCATTGATTTTCTGATCCTATATAACTCATAATTATATATACTTAAAATCTAACAATGACTTATAAAACTTAAACATTTTTATAATAAAGTTTTATTTGGAAATGACATTGTGTGACTCAAGTATAAAAACATGTTTGATCACGAGAATATTATCTCTAATTATCTTTTAATGATTCTTTTAGTAGTTTATTTAAATAAAACGTATTGTTGCAGTTATCATCAGAAATATAGATTGCAAGGTCACAAGGATTTGTGTCGAAGTCTAGGTCTAGATTCATCTAAACTACAAACTTCCCATCTAGCTGCTAGACTAAACGGCTACCTTGTGGGAGTGGGAGGGAAAACTCAGTTTGAGGAGGAAGTCAACAAATTAGGTCTCAGCGAGAAACAAGCGGACTACGTGCGTCATGAAATCGAACGCAACGAAGGAGGCGGTCTAGCTTGTTAGTTTTTTTTAAATTAAAGTTTGTGATATTTAATGATATGTCAAATGTCAAATGGTCATAGGCTGTCGTTTGAATTTAGAACAGAGAATTTAACGATGAAATTTTTAAATATATTTTTTTATTGATGTAGCAAAGAGATCTCATGTGTCTTTATATTCTAAATCACTCCTGTATTTATTTGTCTTGGTAAATTCTGAGTACATCAATTGATATAATAGCAATAATGTTTTATAAATTTGTATTGATATTATTGTATTAATAACGGCAGCCTTGCATTTTTTGTTTTTATGTTATAGAAATCATTCCATTACTTTTCTTTATTGTCACGTGGTACATCGTCATATCCATATAATTATTAAGAATGCAAAATAAATAGTTTTAAGTAATTTCAGTATTTAATTTTAAGTAAAAAATTTCAATAATCAGAAGCAAAAACTTTGGACTTCAATTTTATATTCTTGGTTCGTCGTTCTGCTTGGAATTGTTGAGATAATAAATATAAATATACATGTTTGTGGTTTTATTTTATTAAAAGAAAATTAAAATTTATCAAGTACATAATATATTCAATTATAATAAAATAAACACCTTAAAAATTTAAAATTTCAAAGCTATATAGTATATAGCTTTAAGTATTTGTATTTTCTTTTGAATTCTTTCGATATAAGATGAGTGAAGCGTCCTCAACGTGTCAGTACTGACTGTTTTTTTGGAAATGTGGCTGCGTTTTTCGGACCTTAAACTGGAATCGGTGGTCTAATCTTATTTTTCTTTTATGAAGCTTGACTCGAAAGGACATTTGGTTGCCGAGATCATCACCGTGGGTGAATGACCTGAGTCGCCAGTAAAGTGTTATTCCCATTTCACTCAATAATAATCATTTTTAATAATTTTAAACCGTATGACTTGGATATTATAAATAGAAATCAACGCCATCTAACGTACAGTACTAGTATTATGGCATCGTTTAGTAATATGAAGAATGTTTTAGTTAACAATGTTGAAAAGAGATGGCGTTAACGGGATTTTGAAGGCTAAGAATTTATGACAATTTATTAATATTATTCTGTTTTGTCGTCTTATAATAAGAAAGAATAATTTGGTGGGCGGTCATTTACGTGACATTTAATAATGCGATGTTAATTATTCATCGTGGGATGTAGATATTTTAACGGACAAAAATATTTTGGAATGGTCGTTAGTAAATGTCTCGTTTAGATTTAAGTAACAGAGTTTAGCGAAACTGGGTCTTAGGGTCAATAGCTTATAATGAGAATACGAATTAAAACTTTAATTGACAAAACAATCAAGAAAAATAATAAACAAGAAAATGTACAATATAGGTACTAAAAAAGAAATAACTTGAATTTAAACTGCAGTCACGATTTGCTTCACTACAAAAGAATAATATAATACTAAGTACTAGTAGTTTTAAGTTTTAACTTTAAGTGATTATAATTTAAATAACTTTTGCAACATTTTTCAATAATCATTTTTGTTGTACTTACATCATATTTTATAGGGTATGTACAATGCATATTTTCTCGTTACTTCTAGTTATAATATAGGTATGTAGTAAAAATTTGTCATAAAAACAATCATTTAAATTTTTAACGATCTTTCAACTTTTTCTTACCTATTAATAACGATAGCTTTTAAAATTTTCTAATAAATTATTAGAGAGTTTTTGTTAAGTGTTAATGGAAAATAATAAATGTTAACCATAAAGATTATACAGAACATGGAAACGAAAAGAAATTATTCTTTATTATGAGACTTTAAAATACAGTTTCCTATTATACTTATTTTGTATTTCAAAAAAAAACTTAGTTTTAATCAATCCATCCCTAATCAGCTAACGTAAAGTACCCAATTATAATTTATGACATATTTGATATTACCACACTAGAAAGATTACCAAAGAATATATTACGATAAAACATATATTTTAAGTCTTCTGACATCATTCTACTTTTAACCTTAACTCATACTAGCATCATGTATCTTGAATCATCTTTTTTACAGCCTTAAAAGGAGGAGGTTCTAGATTCATCGTAATCTTTTTGTATGAACCTGCTCCATCTTAATTTCATTACCTACCACAAAATTCATATCGTTATTTTATTTTATGTGTTGTTTTAGTTGTTTCGATTTAATTCCTTCTCCTTGTTTACGTCAATATTCGTGTATGACGAAGCTTATCCTAATAAAATATTGTTTGTTCTAAGTGCGGGTACACTCAGTTTGTACCGGATGATAGCTCGGGAACTAACAAGATAATTCGCCTCCTCCATTTCAATTTTCAAACTACATCCGATAATGTATTTTAAACCATATTTTTTAATAATTAAGCTTTAAATTCATTTGAATACATTCAGAGGTCAGTAAGTTCAAAACATTTGTAAGGGATTTTTGAGTCAATATTGAGTGTAATTATTAACGTATTTATAATAATGTTGAACAAGTCCATATTAAACAATAACATTACAATATTCTCATGTAACACGGTCCGTGGGAGTGTGTATACTTCCGTATTGTGTATGAGTTTGTATGAAAATTTATTATGTAAACATAATACATTTTATAATTAATGACCAGTCAAAATGTAGGTACGCATATCAAAATAAATTGATAGTTAATAAATGATATGATAAAATTTTTGCTTTCTGTTACGTAATTTTACTGTAATTGGTGATGTCATACATACATCTAAAATGAATTCGTAGGGAACTTGGAGTTTATGTATCGGATAAACAAGACAATTACGGTATTGTAAAATAACATATTTGGTCGGAAGACAAATCGTGTAAATTAATTAATAGGAAACATCTTATTTGTCTGTTTGTTATAAAAAAGAAAATAATTCGTAAAATAATAAAAATGTATGGCATAAAATAAGTTATTGTGACAGCTGTCAAACTTTGACAAGCAAACGATTTTGATTTCAATCTTCCAAAGTATTTAAAACATTTACAAGTGTCTATTTTTTTTTAAATAAGTCTTAAGAAATATTAGTTGAAACATTGAAATATGAATAATAACTCTTTTTTTCAGTTTGTCAACTCAAACTGATGTAAGGATACAGGATGCCATCATTTTAAGACGATTTTTCACTTAAATTTTGTCAGCGATCTCTTATAATGCAAACTTAAATGTATATTTTGAAATATCTTAGTTTTTAGCGAGTATGTATATAAATAAAAATATTTTGCGGAATTCTCATAAGCCCAGTTAATGTAAAGTAATGGAAATGTCATGAAAAACGTAAAATAATAACAAGAGTCAAATCCGAAAAAAATAAATAAAGTAATCTCTGTTTAATGAACAAACTAGACGTTTTTTTAAATTCGATACTTATCATTAACTTTTAATATAAAAATATAATTATTACAGTGATATACTAAACAACATATTTCAACATATTTCGTGGAAACTAAATCACATTATCTTGGAAATGAATGACTCATTAAAAGGTAGTTTTAATATCCTATAAATTAATATAATTAAATAACAAAATCATGTTGTATATCTATATATTCTGATATGATGTGATTAATATGTAATTAATCTATCAGGAAAAATAATATGTTGCCTCATATAGCAAAAAATGGAACAAAATTGGTTAATTTATGGATATGTTGAATAAGGACAATAAAAGCCTTCTTTAAAGTCCATATTTTAGGTATTACCAAAACTTATACATTTTTCTGAAGAAAGGTTCGGCAAGTTACATACCTACATACATTCTTTACCTTACATGCTGTATATATATATGAAAAAAAAAACTTTAAAGATAAGTATAATGTTCTTGTAACAAATCGTGATGTTTGAGTTATCTATGATCTCATCTGCTTTGAGGAAGTTGGAATTTTTTGCTAAGCCGCAAGAAATGCGTCGAATAATTCATTTTAGCTAAATTATAATTTATTTATTAATTAGTAATTTTATTGCGTAGCTAAAAAATGAATTTTCTTTACAGTATTTTCAATCCTAGTAAGTCAGTATTTAAACATTGTATTCTTATGCTACGTATTCCAATGACCATGAATTTCGTTAATTTGTCTAATTACACATCTAACATCTGCTAATATGTATGAATATAAAGTAATTCAACTCGCCTCGTGTTATCGTCGTTACAATACTCACTGAGGCTTGCTAATTTTACTTATTAGTACACTATTTTTATCAACAATGGAATACTTTAAAATGATATTTTTCCTACATACCACAAGTCTTACTTATGAAAATTAAAATTAGTTTATTAGAAACGAATTAAAATTAAACTTTATTCATGTTAAAGTTATGTTTTTTATCGTTGGTTTAGTAAATAATATTATAAGCTATACATAAACTTTTTTATAAAATATTAGTTTGAAAGGGAAAAAATATATATTTTCCTTGTTATATACGTTACTTTTTAAGAGAGGTTAATTTAAAACCGTAGATAATATCTTTGTTGAGATCAATTATAATTACAAAAGAAAATAATAGTATTGTTTTTTGTTAAGAAGTTATAAATATAGAAATAATTTAAATAATTGATGTATATGTATTTTTATTTTATGGTTCACGTAAGGTATTTTTAGATGATAGTATTTTTAATGCTTACATAATATCTGCATCGCCTACCAAGTGAAAGTTAAAAGGTCATGGATTATCAATGTGATAGAAAAAAAAGTTTTCTCTTCAGAAAGACCTTTAAAAAGTATAAGATTAAATTATAATAATAAAAAAGGATGTTTTCGTTACTTCAGTTTTTATATTGTTATAGTTTCAATATATTATATTTATATATTTATTTTTTTATGCAAAAGGGGGCAACCGAGCAGACGCCAGACGGCCTATCTGATGAAGGTAGTACCTTCATCCATGGACATCCGCAACATAGTTTTGTGGATATACGAAGAGGGTAGGAAGAAGTGGGAAAGGGAGGGAAAAGGAAAGGGGTAGGTAAGGATGTGTAAAGGGCAACTGGCTCTCTTATTCATCGGACGAAACGCAG